ATGCTGGCGCCGCAGCAGTGGCTTTACCTGCTAACGCCACAGCGCCAGCCCCATGGTAGACCATCTGAAAATCTGAACACTTACCAGTTCACTGCTGAAAAGTCATGGCTCACTTTTACATTATTAGTTTATTGCCGTTTCTGGAAAGCTACTCTGATAGCCTTACTAAGTTGGCAACACAGACCTTTAGGGCAATTTTATATTATCTTTTTTTTTTAAAGAAAATAATCTCATTTAAATTATTTATTTGAGAGGAAGAGAGACAAACATAGAAAGCTCCCATTCTTGGAGCAAGTATTGTGGCATAGCAAGTAAAACCGCCTCCTGCAACACACACCTTCCATCTGGGCACCAGTTTGAGTCCCGGCTGCTTCACTTCTGATCCAGTTCCCTGCTAATAGCCTGGGAAAGGCAGTGGAAGATGGCCCAAGTGCTTGGGCCTCTGCCACCCACGTGGAAGACCTGGAAGAAGTTCTGGCCTCCTGACTGACCTGTCCCAGCCCTAGCCAGTGGAGCCATCTGGGAAGTAAACCAGCAGATAGAAGAGTGCTCTCTCGCTTGCTCACTCTCCTTCCCTCTCTCTCCCTCTCTCTGTAACTCTGTCAAATAAATAAATATATTTTCAAAAGAAAGAAAGCTCCCATTCTCTTCAGTCCCCAAATCCCTGCAATAGCTAAGGCTGGGCCAAGTGAAGCCCAGAGCTGGGAACTCAGTCCAGGTTTACTCTATGGGCTGCAACAGTCCAAGCAGTTAAGCCATCACTGCTGCCTTGCAGGGTCCCCACTAGCAGGAAGCTGGAGTCAGGAGCCAGAGCCAGGTGTTGAGCCAAGATTCTCTGATAGCAGAAAAGCTGTCTCGACCACTAGTCCAAGTACCTGCCTCTCCCCTTATAGGTTTCAAATTCATGTAAAGCATTCATTAACTGAATAGTAATTTGCATTATAAATACAGACACAATAAACTTCATTGTGAATTAAAAAATAGGAAAATGTGAGGCACTTGTATCAATGTAATTTTTATAAATATGAAACTATTAAAACAAATAATCATAAATCACTAATATATATATTTTAAAGCAAGATTTAGATAATTATATGGTTGCTTGGTATGAAAAGTCTCTAAGGCTCATTAATTCCAGTAGATTTCTTTGTTCAGTCAATGTAAATTGAGCACCTGTTTATGTGCCAGGCCATTCTCTAAAAACATCATTTAATGTTACTTAATAATGATTATTTCATATTTTATGAAAAGCCCCTATTTTTTAATACAAACAGATAATTTCCTTAAAATCAAAAGCTTTGTCGGAATATACCCACGATGCCAGGTAATGTGGTCATAAGTCAGAATGTAATAATAGCTAATGAGAGCCCTCCCTCATTCCCACTTCAAGCCTTCTGCAGCCAGTGAGGTCTTTAGTTACCTGTTTTCAAACATTTAGCTAAGATCATTTCATTGTTGTTTCCATTTCCTTTTCTGAAAACAAGCGATAAAATTGCATGAGTTGAATTTGTTATATTATATTTTACTGCTTATATATTTACTGTTTAATACTAGTGTTAGTATGATTATTATGCATGTAATAATTCATGCATATACATACATTATAATGCATATAATTATATTACCATGTTTTACATGAATTATATGAATTTTAATAGAAATATAGAGATGTGATTTATTCATTAAGAGATCATATATTTTTCTTGGCCTTTTTCATTTAATATGTTTCAGAGCTATGTATACTCTTTTTTCTTCAAAGATTTATTTATTAATTTGAAAGAGCCCCAGAGAGAGAAAGGGAAGGCAAGAAAGAGAGAGAGGTCTTCCATCTGCTGGTTCATTCCTCAAAAGACCACAATGGCTGAAGCTGGGCAGATCCAAAGCCAGGAGCCAGGAGCCAGGTCTCCCATGAGGGTGTAGGGGCCAAAGCACTTGGGTCATGCTCCACTGCCTTCCCAGACACAGCAGCAGGGATCTGGATCAGAAGTGGAGCAGCCGAGACTTGAACTGGCACCCATATAGGATGCCAGCACTGCAGGTGCCGCCTTTACCTTCTATGCCACAGCGGCAGACCCTCCATATACTCTTATCTCATTCTTTTCAATACTGAATGAGGGGCCAGCACTGTGGTGTAGCAGGTAAAGCTGCTGCCTGCAGTATTAGCATCCCATATGGGCACTGGTTCAAGTCCCTGCTGGTCCACTTCTGATCCAGCTCTCTGCTGTGGCCTGGGAAAGCAGTAGAAGATGGCCCAAGGACTTGGGCCCCTGTACCCATGTGGGAGAACCCAAGGAGGCTCCTGGCTCCTGGCTTTGGATTGGCACAGCTCCAGCCATTATGGCCAATTTGGGAAGTGAACCAGCGGACGGGAGTCATCTCTCGCTCTCGCTCTCTCTGCTTCTGCCTCTCTGTAACTCTGACTTTCAAGTAAATAAATAAAATCTTAAAGAGTCATTTCACTAGAACTTGAAGAAGAATAAAATCTGTGTATAAAGCATAATGGAATGGATGGATTTAGAAATAATCATTGAAAAATATTATAACGTTAAAAAATGCTGAATGATATCCCATAGTGTAAACATACCACAACTCAATTAACCTCAGTCCTGATAATGGTTAGTAAAATCATGGGATAGAATTTCAGGTTATAAGGATTCTGGAGTGAATGTTGCTAACTGGTTCTCACCCCTTCCTCTTGCATATCCTCACTCCTACCTGCTGTCTACATCACTTATTTTTTATTTAGGTAATATCCTAGAATTTAACATCCTGGCCTTCAGCTTCCACTCTTGAAAGGATATGCCACTTGACAAACAATATTTAAGAAATATTTTCTTATTCTTTTTACATTCCTATTGACTGACTTTTATCTTCAGGAAAAATGTCACACATGTCTTAAGTACACAAGTAAACAAAATACAACCTAGTTATAGGGAACCAGGGAAGGTACTCTTTATCCATTTCATTATGTAGAGGCCTGGGAATCTGAGGATTCTAGAAGGCGATGTGTGACATTCTATTTACAGAAAGGTGCATGGGGGCCCCTAAAAATTCTACCTTCCCACTGCAAGTAGTAGTAGTGCTTGGAATCTCCTTGGAATTAGTCAAGTTGAGGTTTATCTTCAAAATACCTGTTAAAATGCACATTGACTGTCCATAACCATGCAAGGTGGGGGAATTTTGTGTTGTTATTTATAGATTATTTGAAAAGCCGAGAGAAAGATAGAGGTCTTCCATCTGCTGTGTAACTCCCAAATGCCTGCAACAGCCAGGGCTAAGCTACACTGAAGCCAGGAGCCCAGAACCCAGTTTCCGTCTCCCATGTGGGTGGAAGGGACTCATGCTTCCCAGGGTATACATTAGCAGGAAACCAGAATCAGAGCCGAACTGTGACTCAGCCCAGGCATTCTGATACGGGATCGAGGTATCCCAGGTGGCGTCTTGACTGCGAGGCCAAATGTCCACTCATTTTACATGTGCCCTTGAATTTTCCTCATATGTCTGTACATATGTGCACGTATGTATACCTATAAACTTGACTCTTTCTTCATTCTCCGTTCTCCTCCCTCTAATCAGTTTGTCGACTTTTATATATAATTCTTTTATTCTTACATTTCTCTGTGTGTAACTGTTTTCTTATGATACTCTTAGGTACATTTTAGTATCATGTAAGAGATTCTCCCTTACAAACCTGCTTTTCCAAAATACCCTGGGCCAGTCTCAACCATTTGTTGCTTCATAAAATGTTTAGATCATTTATTCTAGTTAGCCAGGCAGAATCCTGCATAAAACTTGGGTATTTAAAGAAAATTCTTCTAGCAGGCATAAATTGGAGTGCAGGGAGGTGGTTGGCCGGGAGACAGGAGGTGACCCCAGAGACCCAGCTAAAAAAGGGCAGACCCGCAGAGTGGCAGGAGAGCACGTCACTTCTTGAACAGAGTCAATGGGACCTGGACCATTGGAGGTGGCGGATGCAGACATGTGAGTCAAAGCTGTTGGACGGAAGGATAGGGTGTCACTGCATCCTCTTCTAGAGTCAGCACTACGGAGCATGAGGCAGGTTTGGGTAAGAACAAAAAGGAAGAAATGTCCATTTGTGCATGGACTATGGTCCATATGCGAGAACTATCGGCGGGCAGGCTGTGAAGATACTAATCATTAGGATAAGTTAAAACCATTGGAAAGTGGTTTGCTTCTTATCCACTTTCTTGTGAGGCCTGAATTTTTTGAGATTTGTTCCTGCTTTGCATGATTTGAGCACAGATCATTAGAAACAATCACAGAATAAAGTTTCCTTGTTTGAGGAGGAGGAGTTTACCCTTACACCTACAGTGCTTTTTTTTTTTTTTTTTTTTTTTTAAGATTTTTATTTATTTCAGAGGTAGAGCTACAGACAGTGAGAGGTAGAGACACAGAGAGAGAGGTCCTCCATCTGATGGTTCACTCCCCAAATGGCCACATCGGCTGGAGCTGTGCGGATCCAAAGCCAGGAGCCAGGAGCTTCTTCCTGGTCTCCCACATGGGTGCAGGGCCCAAGGACTTGGACCATCTTCTACTGCTATCCCAGGCCATAGCAGAGAGCTGGACTGGAAGAGGAGCTGCCGGGACTAGAACTAGCATTCCATATGGAATGCCAGCACTGCAGGCAGAGGATTAACCTACTGCGCCTTGGTGCCAGCCCCAATGCTACAATGCTTTTGCAAAACTTGAACTTACTGCTGTATGGGAAGTATTTAGAATGTTCATGGAAAATGCATATGATGATAAAAACTATGCATGAATTTCAAAATTTTTTACACTGAGATAAATTTACCTTTCAGTTCTGTTTTTCCACACAATTGTTTTTAAAGTACCCTCCTTTGGTCCCTGTAGTTGCTCTGTGTCGGCTATTGGGTATGAATAATCTTGCCTGTGGCAAGGATCCTTTGGCTTCGTCTCTAGGTATTTTGAGGATGTGCTTACTCTCCTGGCTTCTTCATTCTTTTCTTTCTTGTTTTCAGAACTCGATAGCCCGGAAGAGTTGGGGAAGAAGCGGATCTGCAGGATTATCACTAAGGATTTCCCCCAGTATTTTGCAGTGGTTTCACGGATTAAGCAGGAAAGCAACCAGATTGGCCCTGAAGGGGGAATTCTGAGCAGCACCACTGTGCCCCTGGTCCAGGCGTCATTCCCAGAGGGCGCTCTGACCAAAAGAATCCGAGTGGGCCTCCAGGTAACGTTCCCAAAGCCAGATGTCCTTGCTACGTGCAGAGAGCACGTGACCGTGTTTTCTCCTGGAAGCTGTCATCACAGCTCCGCCTCACTGCTATTTGTAACGCGGCTGTTTTGAGATTCGTTAACCTAATTCAACTGAAGAGCATCGCGTATAAGATTTGCTTAGTGGCCTGTTCAGTAAGGTACATGTTTCTGGTTTCTGATAAAAGACGGTTTGTCAACCATAGGTTAGGGGCCTTCATACATGGGCCAACATAGCAACACTTGGTTTATGACCTGTCACGTCATAAAAATCAGTTACAGTGAAACTTGCAAGCTTTAGTGTTTTGTTTGATTTGAGTAAATCAGACAGGCTGGGTTCCATCCAAACCTGCTGGAACTTGTTTTAGTTTGAAAAGCCGACTGGAGATCTTGGCCAGAAGGAGCTGTCTTATGTTTATTCATTTCGGTGAGACCTTCGCTAGTGCTGCTTTTCCTTATGGAGTAAGGGAAATGAGCTGAAAACTACTCGCCGCGCACTGTTAATTCATGTCATAGTTAATATTTTCACTGAAAGCTCACGCTCTTTGGGGGAGGCTGGACTCACCTGCCCAAGGGAGTTGCAAGGGTTTATTTCAGCTGAGCACTCTTACGTTCTGGGGAGGTCTTTACTCAGTCGCTGAAGCTGGAGACCACCTCACACGTCAGAGGGATGAGGTTCCTGACACCTGTCTCCCACGGTGAATTATTTTACCGACGAAGAGCTTTGGCTTGATAGACTAGAAAGGAAATCCTTGCACGTCTGGAATATCTTTCTTCCCTCCCCTCTCCTCTGAAAGCCTTGGTTTTTACAGGAGTACAGATTGACTGGGTGAGATGGTACCAGAGGCCCCGCCTAGGATTAGAATGAGAGGGTCTTCAAAAAGTTCATAGAAAGTATCTTAGGAAACCAAAAAAAATCCATGTCTTTTGCCTGCATTCCAGAATTTTTTTTTTATGCCAAAACAATCTTTCGGTTCCACTTTTCCATGAACTTTTTGAAGCACCCTCATGCACTGCACACACTTTTTCTTTTGTTGTCCCTTACTCTGCATTAGACTAAGAAGAGTCCCTGCCTTGAATTGGGCTCCTTTTCTTTCATGCAAGCCACTGCTGTCTGCTGTCTGTGTTCTATTGGGGGTCCTGCCACAGTGTTGGGTTCTTCTGTTTTTCATGACTTTCTGGAATAGTGTGAAAGAAGAAAGAAGAAAAGCATAGTTGTTTGGATTGTAATTTTTTTTTTTACCTCCTCCCTTAAAAAACCAACATCTGATGAAAAAAAAATCCACTTTCACTTAATTTAAGGTCCTTTCTCTGTCTGTAGGCTCAGCCTGTTCCAGATGAAATTGTGAAAAAGATCCTGGGAAACAAAGCAACATTCAGCCCAATTGTGACCGTGGAACCAAGAAGAAGAAAATTCCATAAACCAATCACAATGACCATTCCGGTGCCCCCACCATCAGGAGAAGGTGTATCCAATGGATACAAGGGGGATACCACGCCCAACCTGCGTCTTCTCTGTAGCATCACAGGTTTGGTTCAGTTGTCGTTGTGTTTCCTATTGATTTGCACTGGTGCAAATCCATGCCAACATGAGGAGTAGAAAATATAGAATAAGATGTCTCACTTGTCCATCACTTCATTTTTGTTATCCTTGAACTCATTTCTCTAAGATGCTGGTTTCAAGACTCATTTAACAGCTAGCGATACCTTCTTTCCTGCTGTTAATATTAGCATTGGTAATAGAGCCCTCTTGGGATTATTGAGGTATTCTTGAATATATTGAAGCATCAAGGTCATTTCTCAGTGATTGAGACAGAGGTAGTCAACCTACCATGACCCTGTAGATTACCCAAAAATTGGATGGGTTTGCAGAAAAATGTAGATCACACAAAGCACTAGGAGTCAGGACGTGTTGAATACATGTTTCACCTGCTTTCTTCTCTGGTGTAACCCAATAAATTGCATTTAAAGGGTTTGGAGCCGGCGCCGTGGCTCACTAGGCTAATCCTCCACCTTGCGGCGCCGGCACACCGGGTTCTAGTCCCGGTTGGGGCGCCGGATTCTGTCCCGGTTGCCCCTCTTCCAGGCCAGCTCTCTGCTGTGGCCCAGGAGTGCAGTGGAGGATGGCCCAAGTGCTTGGGCCCTGCACCCCATGGGAGACCAGAAGGAAGCACCTGGCTCCTGACATCGGATCAGCACAGTGCGCTGGCCACAGCGCGCCGGCCGCGGTGGCCATTGGAGGGTGAACCAACAGCAAAAGGAAGACCTTTCTCTCTGTCTCTCTCTCTCACTGTCCACTCTGCCTGTCAAAAAAAAAAGGGGGGGGGGGGTTTGGGAGAACAAGAGTTTGTGTTAAACACCAGGAATCTAGTGCTCAATTCATCATTTGGTTATTTTATTCTGGTTTTTTATTGCAAGTCCAAGATTATTAATTATAATTATTTTTCTGAGCAGTAGTTTTAATAGCTGATCTTCCCTTTTTACCCTAGAAAGTTGAATGGATTTAACCAGGTACAAAATGATCTGCTTAACTTCATAGTCTTTAGTTTTTTTTTTTTTTTTAATCACAGATTCATTATCTATCTGTAACAACACATCTTTTCACTGATAAAATATTTATAAACTGTGGCTGTTTTAGCAATTAATTATTATACAAACAGCCAAGTAATATTTTAAGGAATTAATAGTATCTTATAAGGAGATAAGAAGAAGATGGTAAAAGTACAAAAAGAGAGTAGAGAGGAAAGCTCTCTTTGGTGTAAGCCATGAACTTGACAGTGTTGAAGCTCTGCCAGTGATTGGCTGTGGATAATGACGTACATGTCAGCAGGGCATCTCCATAACATGTGCTGCTCTTCTCGCAGGGGGCACCTCGCCGGCTCAGTGGGAAGACATCACAGGCACGACTCCTTTGACCTTTATAAAGGATTGTGTCTCTTTTACAACCAATGTTTCAGCCAGGTATGGAAATAAAGAGTTCCAAAAGCACTAAACAATCGAATTTTATAGCTTTTTTGGAAAATAAAATTTGTTGTGTTCAAGAGCAATATATTTTTTCAATTTCATGGGGAAGAAGAGAAAAAAATCATTAGTGTTTGCTTAGCAAAATTATTTTCAAATGCTAAATAATTTCTGAGGCTGATAGAGTAAACGCATTTGCTTTCTAAATGAACTAGCTGTTAATAATTTGGCTTAGTTTCCCTTATATACATCTTCTGATTTTTTAAAAATGTGAGTCCTTTGTTAAGATTGGCTTTTATATCACTTCATTTTCATGCTTCAGTTTTGTTTTTATTTTGCTTTTCTCAGATTTTGGCTTGCAGACTGCCACCAAGTTCTAGAAACTGTTGGGCTAGCCACGCAGCTATACAGAGAATTAATATGTGTCCCATATATGGCCAAGTTTGTTGTTTTTGCCAAAATGAATGATCCTGTGGAATCCTCCCTGCGATGTTTCTGCATGACAGATGACAAAGTGGATAAAACTTTGGAGCAGCAAGAAAACTTTGAGGAAGTCGCAAGAAGCAAAGATATTGAGGTACCTTGTTCACAAAAGCAAGTTCACCTAATTACATTCCCCTAGATACAGGATTTAATGTTGAGCCATAATAGTAGTCACTAACAGTATCAAATATATTATAGATTTTAGATAGATTCAATATAGATGCAATCTGCGATTAAATATATTTAATAAAAAGCATATTAAGTATGTTTTGGAGTTATCTTAGCTGGTTAAAATGCAGTAATGTGGTACTAATGAATACAAGACATGGATTCTACCTCCCTGTCAATACTTGAGTTTTCTCATTTTTATCGTCATTGTCAATACCCATTATTATGACTTCTCCTTTTTAAGCAGTGACCACATGAGTATCTAAGAGTCAAAAAAAATGATTTCGAAGTCAACATAAATGAGTGATTGATGTTAGGCACTTTATCAAGCATGTTTAATGTTGTTAGGATAGAAATGAACACAAAGTTATGTTTTGTGCATGTCCATGACAGGGTTTCCAATCATAACTATTGAATTTGCAATGGCCAATAGCAACATAGAAGTAGTTCCTAATAAAGAGAAATGGAACAAACATGTCACTCTTTTGACTTGTGTGACTTGAAATCTCAAAAACTCTTCAAACTGAAATTAACATGAAATAATGTGTTTCTTGTACTCCAAAAGGTTCTAGAAGGAAAACCTATTTATGTTGATTGTTATGGAAATCTGGCCCCACTTACCAAAGGAGGACAACAACTTGTTTTTAACTTTTATGCTTTCAAAGAAAATAGACTGCCATTTTCCATCAAGGTAAATCATCTTTACTAAAAGAAAGTCTGAAATTTTTAAACACTCTTAGAGAACAAAAACAAAAACTTTTGATGATTTAGTTTGAAATAGCCATGAAAGGAATGGACATTTAGTCTAGCAGTTAACATGCCCATGTTATGCATCAAAGTGCTTGAGATTGATTCCCAGTTGAGATACCCACCCATTTCCCATATCTGAGTGCCTGCGTTCAATTCCCAGTTCTGGCCCCTGACTCCAGCTTCCGGTCATTGCAGACCCTGGGAGGGAGCTTGTGGTGGTTCAAGTGGAAAACCTGGATTGAGTTCCTGCCACACATGGGGGAGACCTGCTTTGAGCTGTTGGCTAGCTGCTTTGGGCCAAGCCCATCCCCCACCATTTGTGGATATTTGCAGAGTGAATCAGCAAATAGGGGAGAGTACGTGAACATGCTGTCATATAAAAAAAGAAAGAAATAATATAGCACCAGTTAAGCTTTTTTTTTTTTTTTTTTTTTTTTCTTGACAGGCAGAGTGGAAAGTGAGAGAGAGAGACAGAGAGAAAGGTCTTCCTTTGCCGTTGGTTCACCCTCCAATGGCTGCCGCAGCCGGTGCGCTGCGGCCGGCGCACCGCGCTGATCCGAAGCCAGGAGCCAGGTGCTTTTCCTGGTCTCCCATGCGGGTGCAGGGGCCATCCTCCACTGCACTCCCGGGCCACAGCAGAGAGCTGGGCTGGAAGAGGGGCAGCCGGGACAGAATCCGGCATCCCGACCGGGACTAGAACCCGGTGTGCGGGCGCCGCAAGGCAGAGGATTAGCCTACTGAGCCACGGCGCTGGCGTACCAGTTAAGCTTTATAATTAATAAAAACCATCTTTGCCTTTTAAAATGTTTAATACTTAAGCAAATGTTTGCAAAGTCAATCTAGAATAGTAATATGTATCTCACCTGGTTAATGCTCAGTAATCAAATATTTGATGGGTGAAATCCAAATTCAATAGTCCAGTTTCATTTCCATTTCTGATGGCATCCAGGGACATTCTGGGGAGACAGTCTTCCTCAGAGAACAGGAGATACAATGATTGATTTTTTTTATTGTTTTGTTGCTGTTGCAAAACCTGAAGCTTTGAGAAAAAGAAATTATTAGGCAACAAGAAAATGTGTTTGAGTGGTCTATGAATTGGCAGGTTAAGACAAGCAGATCCAACAATCCTGTGTTTAGGCTAGCAAGTGGGTATCTAAATCTTACCAAATTCAAATGTGACTCCCCTGGCTGACAAGTAATTCTTTTCCCTCTACCTTTCCTGCCTCTAAGTGGGCTTCATTAAAGCAAGCACATTAACTCTCACATAGACAGAATCCTAATTGTCACTACCTAAATTCTTCTAGATTAGAGACACCAGCCAAGAGCCCTGTGGCCGTCTGTCTTTTCTGAAGGAACCAAAGACAACAAAAGGACTGCCCCAAACAGCTGTTTGCAACTTAAATATCACTCTGCCAGCACATAAAAAGGTATCTTTTAATCCTGGCTCGTTTTAGTTTCTTTCCCTAGTCTTGAAGAAGTGGGCCCTTGGTATGCAATTAAGCAACGCTTTGTACCACAATTTTGAGACTCAAGTTTTATTAGTCTCCTCGTGTAGATGGACTAAGTCTTGTTACTGTGGTGTCAAATCCTTATAGTTTGTATGATGGAGTCCTCTGTTTATTGCTTCTGCTGGTAGATCATAGATTTTTATGCTTTCAAATAATGTCACACATTAGTTTGCCATGGATGTACAGTTCTTAATATTTTTTTGTTGCTTCTTTTGATTTGCTTTGCTTTCTAAATCAGCTTGCATTTTGTGCTCCCTACTCAGTCCTTTTCATATCCTGATATTCTTTTCCCTGCTGTCCATTATAATATTCCTTGTCTCTACAATGCATCTTGGAACCAAAAGGAGACAGAGTCAGATCAAGATGATGAGGTAATATGAACACTTCTGCTTTTATTCTATCAGAGACAGACTAGAAATTGAATCTATATGAAAGAAGTTGCAGAGGGCTGAAGTGTGGGAACTGTGTAAATTGTATTTTTGCAGGTGTTAGCTTAAGTGAAGTAAAAGGATATGAATTTTTTTTAAAAAAATGGTTCACTCTTCCTTCACATGCAAGAGTACTTCAGAATACGCCTAAAATTATAATCCAATTTATGATTTAAAAAGAACCAATACAGTTCTTAATATTTTTAAATATGCTAGATTGACATATCAACAGACTTTTTTTTAAATTTCAAGTACACATTTTACTATCTATTGCTATCTACTGTGCTACAACCTTTAAACCAAGATCATGGTTAATATAAGAAATTTTATTAATACAAAGCAATTTTGTGTTATATAATACAAAACATTTGTTCCCTGGCTGTTGATAAATATTGGATAAACTAGCTAAAGATATGTATCTTGGCCATTTTTAAAGAGTACAGTTGTTTATTTGAATTTTGAGAGAATTTCTCCTTCTAAATCATCTCCTAACATTGCTCAATGGCTTTTTAAAGCCCACGCATCAATCATAATAGAATCAGCAGCCTTAGGATGCAGTAACATTACTGCTGATAAAATCATTAACCTGTTGTTAAGCTCTTTGCTTGTACCTTATGCTTATTAACATACAGGGATCACAGTAGTGATTGGAATAATAAACTTTATGTGCCTTTTTTCCCTGAATGTACTCACATGGAGTGAGTGTACTTTGTGATCTGTGTGTTTTCAGTATGGATGGATTTGGGGCAACGTGACTGTTCAGCATCAGAAGTCTCTGTGATGCACGTCTTCCATCTGTAGTTCCTGTAGCGTGTGTACTGTGTTAGTGCTCTTAAACAAGTATTTGCTAAATGGTGGTTATGTGGTCGAGACGCTGGGGTGGGGCTATAGAACCTCAGTAGGAAATGAACATCTGGAAGAGGAAAATGCATAAAAAAAAAAATCAGGATAAGCAAGCTCTCAACCTGCCATCCTAGAAGCTGTTTCACAACCAGGGCGGTGTCTCAGGGAAGCTGCAAACAGAGGCTCTTTCCCCTTTTCTTTTTCAGGCTGAGAAAGCAGATAGACGCCAGAGCTTTGCATCTTTAGCTTTACGTAAGCGCTACAGCTACTTGACTGAGCCTGGAATGAGTGAGTTTTCTAACACCGTTACTAATCTATGTGGATTTTTGTAAGAAGAGACATTTTTTCTATACCAACTAAATTTTGATGTTGTTAGAAAACCCAGTGACAAAAGGAGAGTTGCCTATCATGAAATCGAAATAATCTTTTGTACATACTTGAAGACATGAAGTACAAACACCCCTAATATGCAGCTTTCGAAGCAGTTTTCAAAGCCACTATTCTTTAGTTAGAAGCCTCTATTGCTTTTCTTTTAAAACCTTGATTTGTCAACTATTCTAGGAGATAAATACCAGTATTGCTTTCAATCTGTGTTCAGAAGAGAAAATATTTTCTCTTATATATTTGGGATGGTAGTGAGGAGGAGAAGGTTACTTTGGTCATCACCTCATTTTTCACAACACAGATAGGTTGTTGTATCCTAGCCCTGATGCTTTTTCTTCCCACTTTGCAAGAATTTTATTTTCTTACTTTCTTCAGGAAGCATTTGCTTACTCATTTCTTATTTCTTCCATCCCCCCTTGTACTCTCCCACACTGACTTTATTAAAATATCACTCTGAAGCTGATTTTCACTAGACTGGTTAAACCCCTTTCTCACTGCCTGTTTTGGTTCATTGTTAAGTGCCTGGCAAGCATCAGAGTATTAGATTCTATTGTGTTCGTTCATTTCCCCTCGCTCATCTCTGTCTCTGCTTCCTTCCTCTCCTTCCCTCAACCTGCTAATTGTCATGACAGACCTCAAGATCACTCCCTCCACAAAGAGGAGCTAAGAGGACCAAGGGCAGCACTGTGATTGACTGGTAGAAAGTGGTGCCACTTTAGCCATCGGAGGGCTGCAGACAATTTGTACAGAAATTAGTTTTTAATTAGGGAGTCATTCCTGGTTGTTTCCATCGACTCATAGTTGCTTGAATTCAGGGAGGCTGGGAAATTTACCAGTAAGAACCACCATTTTGGTTTTCCCTCCTTACCTGAGTTACTGTTTTTGTGGGTCAGCATAGCATATGAATATGTAGTAGGAATCTGCTCCACTACTGAGTTCAGATGGTCTTAACATAGTCTGCTGGAACCTAGCTCTTTGACTACTAGGGAAGTTTTTATATTGAAATATAAAATAGGGAGTACCAGGGAAATGATACCCTACAACACTCATGAACATTTCCTTGGATCTGTTTTCTCCCTTAGCAGAAAAATCTGTAAATCCTTCCAGAAACTGGGGCTGAAATTTACTCCTGTTGTGCTACTGAATAGGGAGGGTGTGTGTGAGTGTTCACGTGTGCGTAGGTAGATGATTTTTCAATTAAACTAAATACACCAGGTAGAAGGGTTTTTTTGGAATATTGGTTTGCCCTGGAGACCCATATTGTGATCTAAATCTTAGCCTCAAAGGGAAGTTGGTGGGGAGGCCCACCACACCCCAAGGCACCATTCATTGGTTTTGGGTGGGCTTGATGGACCAGATCACTTAGATCACAGGCCCCCTGGAGCAGGCAGGTTTCCATCTGATTCTGGTCCTCCAGGAGTTTGGGGGGATTCCTGAATGGTAAGGCCATTGATGTGTTAAGTCATTGAATTTTTCCCACTTATCAAAGTGGTCCAACATTTTTGGTTAGCTTCACATAAGGTAGATGCAACTTGTTTTTCTTGACTATTGCTGGAAGGAAGAGGGCACTTCTGTTTTATGAAAGGGCATGTAAGGATAGTATGCCAGGAGTAAAAAGGAATAAAAGGGGAGTAAAAGAGAACTACAAAATGCCATGGCCTCTGAATTGATTTTAAAACATTCCCGCTGCTTCCTGCTCCCCTAGGAAAAAGATTCTGATATAGCTCAGTGTCTAATAATCCAAAATTCCCTTTGTTAAAAAAAGGTATTGCGAAAAGACAGATCATTAAAAGATAAAATGTGTAACTGATCAGTAAGTTGGTTGTTCTTTGCGAAGTACAGAAGCATAGATAGGGTTCAGAAAGACTTCTTTGCCTGATGTAGCCATCCTTCAGGGGTAAAGGAGAGAGGCATTGCCCATTTCTAGTAGTTACCAAATACATCCATGAACTGAGGCCAAGTCATTGGATGGAAAGGATCCCCAGATCGTCCATTTGTGTTATGGTGTTTCCAAGGAATTGAGCAACATGGTACTGAGAATCACAGCTAGGAAGGGTAATGAATAGGTGAGTTTTTCCTTAGTTCTTCCACTTCCTCAGAGTAATATGTAAGTCTTGACAAGGATAGGTTCTGACTGTCTGAATGTAAACGTACACCAGGAGTGAAAGTCTTCACCTTTGGGGGAGAAGCTGGTAATCCGAGAACAGGATAGTAGTAGTAGCCTGGCACAGCGGAGAGGAGCAGGAAAGATGAAGTTGAGTCTCATTTCCTTTTCAAGTTCCACTATTACTCTGAACCAAAGTTTTCATGGAGCAAGACTGTCTGCAAATTTGGCATAGAACGTGTCCCTCAGCAGGTGTTCAAAATCTGTGACCTGCTTGATGGGTTTGTTAGAGCTGAAGAAGTAGAGAGGGCTGAGGCGTGTTTGCCGTCCCCCTGCAAGTGTGCTTACCTCATTTGTATGCTTCTTACCCCCTTCCGCCCCCGCAAGGAGAATGCATCTGTCTTTTCTAGTGGTAGGTCCACCTCATGGCTGCTCCAATGATTGAGGTACCCATGACTCCAATGAGTATGAATTGGTACCTTTGCAATTGACAGACACACACATACAAATATACCATATTCCACTGCAGATACCTAACTATGGGGTGTTAAAAATATGACTATGCTTTCTAGATTTTCCCCCATGATACCTTTTGAGAATCTAAAGTGGGATAGATTATGAAACAATACCTCAGATAATCTGTGTTCTCGCAACCATCATGAAGAAAGCTACAGACATGGCTCTATATACATATAGATGTATTTTATAATGTACAGTAGTAAATACTTCCCTAAAATCTCAAAAGGTACCAAGACTTTACATCTCATGGAAAAAGTGTACTCTTCTTTTTAAATGCTGTTGTGAAAGTATTTTTAAAGTGTATATATTGCACATAATATGGCATACAAATTGTATTACTTTATTGGCTTGTTTGCCATGATATATCATGCATGATAAGATGTTTTCAGTTGCTTTGCTTGCTTATGGTAACCATGAATCATATTTTGTTTTTTTTTCCTTTGTGTGTGTATGTACACATGCATTTAAAAATCATTCCATGTTACATTTTCTTTTTTCTCCATCAAAAGGAATATACTGCATGGAAAAGATAAATGCAAACATTCCTTTTCTTTGTTTTTGTTTTGTTTAAGATTCTGACTCAGAAAATTTCTTGCTCTTATTGGCTTTTTATGGGTGAAAAGCATAACCGAATTGTGCATGGAAGATAGAGATTGAAAATCCAGTGGCTTCATAGTTTGCACATCAATTGCCTGTCACCTAAAAGTTATTTTGGATTCTGCATGAAATAGGCTTGAGTGGTCTTCTCAAACAGTTGTAGATATTTAATGTGCAGCTACACATCTGGAAATGGTTCTGAGGAGGTACACTCTCTATCATGGGAAGGCTCAAGAAGAGGGAGGGTTAGACAATGACTACAATGAAAGTCATATGGTTGCACGAAACAAACATGTGCGGATACAGGCAAAACAGAACGGCTACTGAAACTTCCAAACCAGCACATAAGAAAGTCAATAGGAAGTAAGGGAAGAGTTTTCCATTGTGGTTATTTCTCATCATTAATTCTTTCCTCATGTGTTTCCATTTTTCATTGTTGGCCTATTTGGTTGCAATGTGCTTTTCCCGTCTTTCATTTCCCACTGCTCTGTTTTTTATTTCTTGAGTTGTTTTTTAAACTTTGGATTAGTTGTCTTGTCTGTGGAAATTTTATTTTTCCTCCTTTATGTAATTGTTCCTTTTTGCCTCTTCCATTCTAAGTCATGCTGCAAACAATTGTACTTGCTTTTGTAATATTTCAAAGTTTACTGACCAATTTTTTTCTCTGGTCTCTCTGTTTCTCAACCATTTTTGTTGATTTTTGTGTTTGATTTCATTTAAAAATTTTAAGAAACAGTTGAACGGAGTGCAGGAGCAACAAGATCCCTCCCTACCACTTACTCATACAAGCCATTCTTTTCTACAAGACCATACCAGTCCTGGACAACAGCTCCGAACACAGTGCCTGGGCCGGCCAAGTCAGGCTTCACTTCCTTATCAAGTTCTTCCTCTAATACGCCGTCCGCTTCTCCATTAAAATCGATATGGTCTGTTTCGACTCCCTCTCCAATCAAATCCACCTTAGGAGCGTCAACTACATCTTCAGTTAAATCCATTAGTGACGTGGCATCTCCGATTAGATCTTTTCGGACAATTTCTTCGCCAATAAAAACGGTGGTGTCACAATCTCCATACAATCTCCAAGTTTCCTCTGGTACCCTGGTTAGACCTCCCACAGTCACAGAGGCCACGCCCTTAAAAGGGCTGGCATCCAACTCTACGTTTTCCTCTCGAACCTCTCCAGTGACTACAGGAGGGTCCCTGCTGGAGAGGTCGTCAATTACCATGACACCCCCGGCTTCCCCCAAATCCAACCTTAACATGTATTCCTCCAGTTTGCCATTTAAGTCCATCATTACATCAGCAACACCGCTGATCTCGTCGCCTTTAAAGTCAGCGGTGGCTCCAGCTCAGTCGGCAGTCGATGTCATTTCATCCGCTAAAGTCACGATGGCATCTGCTCTGTCGTCACCCTTGAAACAGATGCCCGGACATGCAGAGGTAGCTTTAGTCAATGGCTCGGTTTCTCCTCTGAAATATCCATCGTCTTCAACTTTAATTAACGGATGCAAAGCCACTGCCACGTTACAGGACAAAATTTCCACAGCTACAAACTCTGTAGTGAACGCAGCCACTGACACGGTTGATAAAGTATTTGCCACCACGACAGCGATGCCATTTTCCCCACTCAGGTCATACGTCCCCGCAGCGGCCCCATCAGCTTTTCCGTCTCTAAGAACTCCTTCCGCAAGTGCTCTCTATACATCCCTCGGGTCATCGCTCTCCGCAACTACCTCCTCTGTAACTTCATCAATTATCACAGTGCCAGTATACTCTGTAGTCAATGTTTTGCCAGAACCAGCCCTAAAGAAACTTCCAGACTCGAATTCACTCACCAAATCAGCAGCCGCCTTGCTGTCGCCCATTAAAACATTGACTACGGAGACACGCCCCCAGCCCCATTTCAATCGAACTTCATCTCCGGTTAAGTCATCCCTGTTCCTTACGCCCTCTTCCCTAAAGTTGTCCACACCGTCTTCTCTATCTTCCAGTCAGGAGATATTAAAAGACGTGGCCGAAATGAAAGAGGACCTAATGCGGATGACCGCAATACTGCAGACGGATGTGCCCGAGGAGAAGCCGTTCCCCCCCGAGCTCCCCAGGGAAGGGAGGATGGAGGACGAAGAACCTTTCAAAATTGTGGAGAAAGTAAAGGAAGACTTAGTGAAAGTCAGCGAGATCCTGAAGAAGGATGTATGTGTGGATGACAAAGGATCGCCCAAGTCCCCCAAGAGTGACCAAGGACGCTCTCCCGAAGAGGACTGGACCGAGTTTAGTTCGGAAGAAATCCGGGAGGCCAGACAGGCTGCAGCCAGCCATGCCCCGTCCCTGCCCGAGAGGGTGCAAGTCAAGGCGAAAGCCGCCTCGGAGAAGGATTATAACCTGACCAAAGTCATCGATTACCTGACTAACGATATTGGGAGCGGCTCCCTGACAAATCTCAAGTACAAGTTCGAGGATGCAAAGAAGGACGGCGAGGAGAGACAGAAGAGAATTTTAAAACCAGCGATGGCTTTGCAGGAACACAAACTCAAAATGCCTCCAGCCTCCGTGAGGCCGTCCACCTCTGAGAAAGAGCTGTGTAAGATGGCCGATTCCTTCTTTGGCACGGATACGATTCTCGAGTCGCCGGACGACTTCTCTCAACATGACCAAGATAAAAGTCCCTTGTCTGACAGCGGCTTTGAAACGAGAAGCGAGAAAACCCCTTCGGCCCCGCAGAGCGCCGAGAGCACGGGGCCCAAACCGCTTTTTCACGAGGTCCCCATCCCGCCTGTCATCACGGAGACCAGAACGGAAGTGGTTCACGTGATCCGGAGCTACGAGCCCTCGGCGGGGGAGGCTCCCCAGTCCCAGCCAGAGGAGCCTGGGTCCCCCAAGCCCTCGCCTACCTTTACGGAGCTGGAGCCAAAGCCCGCCCCCTCCAGCATCAAGGAGAAGGTGAAAGCCTTCCAGATGAAAGCCAACGGCGAAGACGAGGAGCCCAGCCGGGTGCTGGGCAAAGGCGTGCGCGTCAAAGAGGAGACCCACATCACGACCACCACCCGGATGGTGTACCATTCCCCACCCGGCAGCGAGGGCAGCTCCGAGAGGATCGAGGAGACCATGTCGGTCCACGACATCATGAAGGCCTTTCAGTCTGGGCGCGACCCTTCCAAAGAGCTGGCAGGTCTGTTTGAGCATAAGTCGGCAGTGTCTCCAGACGGTCACAGGTGTGCGGCTGAAGCCTCAGCCCAGCATGCAGAGAAGGACAGCCAAATGAAACCCAAACTGGAGCGTATTATAGAAGTCCACATCGAAAAAGGTAACCAAGCTGAGCCCACTGAAGTCATTATTAGAGAAACCAAAAAGCATCCAGAGAAGGAGATGTATGTGTTTCAGAAAGACTTACCCCGGGGAGATATTAACCTAAAAGATTTTCTGCCAGAAAAACACGATGCTTTTCCTTGCCCAGAGGAACAGGGTCAGCAAGAAGAAGAAGAACTCACTGCCGAGGAGTCCTTGCCTTCCTACCTGGAGTCTTCCCGAGTAAACACTCCCGTGTCCCAAGAAGAAGACAGTCGCCCTAGTTCCGCTCAACTCATATCCGATGACTCCTATAAAACACTGAAGCTTCTGAGTCAGCACTCGATAGAATACCATGACGATGAGTTGTCAGAACTAAGAGGGGAGTCTTACAGGTTTGCTGAGAAAATGCTTCTGTCAGACAAGCTAGACGTGTCTCACTCAGATACTGAGGAGTCTAGCTCAGAGTTACAGGGGTCTGATAAGCGGGCCAGAGAAAAAGTAGCCACTGCCCCCAAAAAAGAGATTCTCTCCAAAATCTATAAAGATGTGTCTGAAAATGGTGTAGGGAAGGTGTCTAAAGATGAGCATTTTGATAAAGTGACAGTATTGCACTACCCTGGCGATGTCGGTAGTCCCAAGCATGCCATGTGGATGCGCTTCACTGAGGACAGACTAGACAGAGGTAGAGAGAAGTTGATTTACGAAGATAGGGTGGACAGGACCGTGAAGGAGGCGGAAGAGAAACTGACTGAAGTGTCACAGTTTTTTCGTGACAAAACCGAAAAGCTAAACGATGAACTGCAGTCCCCCGAGAAAAAGCCGCGCCCGAGAAATGGCAAAGAATACTCTGCCCAGAGCCCCGAGAAGGGCCTGCTCACGGAACTGCTGGCGTCCAACGAGGAGTGGGTTAAGGCAAGGCAGCATGGCCACGATGGAGCAGGCTTCCCCAGGGCCGAGGAGAGGAGAGCACCCGGTGTCAGCCCGGAGAAACCGGCTCTTCTCCCCCCGCACGCTGGAGACGGCAAGCCCCCAGAGGAAACCAGAGGAGGCGTGGCCCAGAGCAAAGCACCCGAAGGGCCCCAGTCTGGATTTCAGCTCAAACAATCCAAACTCAGTTCCATTCGATTAAAATTTGAACAAGGTGCGCACATCAAAAGTAAGGACGTGTGCGACGAAGACAAGAGGCCGGATGGCCAATCCAGAATCCCAGTTAAAAAACTCCAGGAGAGCAGGCTGCCTGTCCACCAAGCCTTTGCTAGAGAAAAACAGCAGAAGGGCGGCACAGACCTCGCAGATCAAAGTGGATCTGTGCAAAACGGTGCTCTGGTATCGAAAGCTAAAGATGAGGCTGCCCAAGGCGGCGATGTGGTCGTGAACGATGTTGGCTCCGATGAGGCGACAATACAGAGAACTGAGACGCCAAGTAAAGCCATGCCGGAGCGTTTTTCTGGGCACCAGGCTGCAGACTTAGCGTGTCCTGTAACCTCAGACTTAGCCACTGCTAAGGGACCATGGGACAAAAAGGTCTTTAGGACGTGGGAAAGTTCCGGAGCCAGTTACAATAAGTCCCAAAAAGAAAAACTTTCACATGTCCTCGTCCATGATGTGAGAGAGAGTCACCTGGGCCACCCCGAGAGTCAGAGTGTCGCTCAAAAGAACGAATTTCTGTCTGTGACTGAGAGAGAACACAGAGTGTTAACCAATGGCTCTCTCTCAGAAATTAAGGAAATGACTGTAAAATCGCCCTCCAAAAAAGTCTTATACAGGGAATATGTTGTTACGGACGGGGACCGTCCAGGCGGGCCTCCTGAGCAGCCGGCCAGGAGAGGCGAGAGCCCGGCCGTGTCGCACGGCCCGGTCCGCGTGGCCGAGGAGAGGAACGGGCTGCCTGCTAATGGTCCCCACGCTTTCTGTGAGCCCGCGGCGCTTCCAAAACACGCACCTTCCCCCAAGCTGTCCCAGTCGAGTCTGAGTAAAGAGACAGTTGAGACAAAGCACTTTAATTCCATAGAAGATGCAAAAGTCACCTACTCAGAAATCAGCAAGGTGTCCAAACAGAGTTACGTAGGCTTGTGTCCACCTCTAGAGGAACCTGAAACCTCCCCCACCAAATCTCCTGATTCTTTAGAGTTTAGCCCAGGCCAGGAGTCGCCCTCTAGTGACGTATTTGACCACAGTCCCATGGACGGATTGGAGAAACTTGCACCCCTAGCGCAGACAGAGGGAGGGAAGGAGATAAAAACCTTGCCTGTGTATGTGAGTTTCGTGCAAGTGGGGAAGCAATATGAAAAAGAGATTCAACAAGGAAGTGTCAAAAAAATCATAAGTCAGGAGTGTAAGACAGTGCAAGAAACCAGGGGGACCTTTTACACAAGCAGGCAGCCGAAGCAGCCTCCCTCTCCCCAAGGTAGCCCAGAAGACGACACTCTAGAGCAAGTGTCCTTTCTAGACAGCTCTGGGAAAAGCCCTTTGACCCCGGAAACACCCAGTTCGGAGGAAGTAAGCTACGAGTTTACGTCTAAAACACCAGACTCGCTCATAGCCTTCATACCAGGCAAACCCAGTCCAATTCCCGAGGTTTCTGAGGAATCGGAGGAGGAGGAGCAGGCCAAGTCGACCTCCCTAAAGCAGCCCGCGGCGGAGGAAACCCCAGTCGCACGGGAAATGCCCAATGAGGTGGGCAGAGACTCTAGCCAAAGGCCTAAAACCAATCGAGTTGCCTACATTGAATTTCCTCCTCCTCCCCCGCTGGATGCAGAGCAGCTGGAATCAGAGAAGCAGCCTTATCGCCCCGAGAAGGAAGGTGAGCTGATCGAAGTGAGCCTGCAAGATGAACACGACAAGTACCAGCTGGCGGAACCGGTCATCCGAGTGCAGCCACCGTCACCGGTCCCTCCGGGGGCCGATGTCAGCGATTCCAGCGATGATGAGTCCATTTATCAGCCGGTCCCAGTTAAAAAATACACCTTCAAATTAAAGGAGGTAGACGACGATCAGAAAGAAATGACGAAATGCAAAGCGGCCGCCGCCAAGGCCGGCAACCAGAAGGAATCGGAAAGTAATGGATCTGCCAAGGAGAATGACTTTGGCCTCCCCCTTGACTCGCCTCAGAACGAAACGGCCCAGAATGGGAACAACGACCAGTCCATCACCGAGTGTTCCATCGCCACCACCGCAGAATTTTCCCACGATACAGACGCCACCGAGATCGACTCTCTGGATGGCTACGACCTGCAAGATGAAGACGATGGTTTGACCGAGAGTGATTCCAAGCTCCCAAGTCAGACCATGGAAATTAAGAAAGATGTCTGGAACACAGAGGGCATTCTGAAGCCAGCCGACCGCTCGTTTAGCCAGAGTAAACTGGAAGTTATCGAGGAGGAGGGGAAGGTGGGACCAGAGGAGGAGAAGCCATGTACGCAAAGTCCTTCCTCCGGAAAGACTGCTGATAAGACTGAGCAGAAGTCCGGGGCCCAGTTCTTCACCCTAGAAGGCAGACATCCCGACAGATCAGTGTTTCCTGACACTTATTTCAGTTACAAAGTAGACGAAGAATTTGCCACTCCTTTTAAAACCGTAGCTACCAAAGGTCTAGATTTCGACCCCTGGTCTAATAACCGAGGGGACGATGAAGTTTTTGACAGTAAGTCCCGGGACGATGACACTAAGCCGTTTGGTCTGGCGGTGGAAGACCGCTCTCCAGCAACAACCCCTGATACAACGCCAGCCAGAACGCCAACTGACGAAAGTACCCCAACTAGTGAGCCTAACCCCTTCCCATTTCATGAAGGAAAAATGTTTGAGATGACTCGCAGTGGTGCAATTGACATGAGCAAGAGGGATTTTGTTGAAGAGAGGCTCCAATTTTTCCAGATTGGTGAGCATACTTCTGAAGGGAAGTCAGGGGACCAGGGGGAAGGGGATGAAACCATGGTCACGGCCACACCACAGCCACAGGCAGGGGACACCGCTGTAGAAACCAATCTAGAGAGAAATGTAGAGGCACCTCCAGTGGAACCTCCCCCCAGCATCCCGACCAGCGGAGAGGGTCAGGAAGACACATCCGGTAGCGGCTCCCTGGAGAGAGCAGCGGCAGCGGCCACCAGCACCTCTAAAGTTGACCCCAAGTTGCGCACGCCCATCAAAATGGGAATTTCTGCATCCACCATGACCATGAAGAAAGAAGGCCCTGCAGAAGTACCAGATAAGCTAGAAGCGGTGGCGACCAGTTGTCAGGGATTAGAACACGAAGCTCTAAGCATGACTGCAAATGCAGCCAGTAGCCAGATGGGCGTTAGGCCCCAAGAAAGACATGATTTTCAAAAAGATAACTTTAATAACAACAACAATTTGGATGCTTCCACCATGCACACAGATCACATGACAAGTCATGTAGTGCTCCCAGAACATTCCGCACCCAGATGTGCCACTGAGAAAGCTAAGCCAGTGAAAGGCTCCTCAGGAAAAAAGCCAGGGCTACCACACGGACACTGCACAAAAGATAAGCAGAAAGTGCTCGGGGAGCAGCAAAGGACAAAGGAATCCATAGGGATTAGGCGACAATCCAAACTTCCCATAAAGGCCACTGCACCAAAAGATAACCTCCCACCCAACCATATGCCAAACCTTAAGGCAAGTAAAACGAAGCAGGTTAGTCCACCTGGGAAAACCACAACCCTTCCTTCTTCTTCATGTGTAGATGGAAAGTCCAGAATCCCAGTAAAACACACACACAGGGATAACACAGTCTCAGTTAGAAAAGCATGTGCCACACAAAAACAAGAGCAGCCAGAGAAAGACAAGGCCAAACAGCTTCCGTCCAAGTTGCCAGTAAAGGTAAGATCCACCTGTGTCACCACCACCACCACCACCACCACTGCCACGAGCACCAGCAGCAGCTGCAACAGCACCACCACCACCACCACCACCACCACCTCCACCACCACAGTTAAAGTCAGGAAAAGTCAGCTTAAGGAAGTATGTAAACATTCCATTGAATATTTTAAGGGAATTAGTGGCGAGACCTTAAAGCTTGTGGACCGCCTCTCTGAAGAAGACAGAAAGATGCAGTCCGAGGTGTCCGATGAGGAAGAGAGTACCTCAAGAAACACGTCGTTGTCCGAGACTTCCCGGGCTGGCAAGCCTTCAGTTACCACGAAGTCTGCTAGAGATAAGAACACAGAGGCAGCGCCTTTAAAATCAAAGAGTGAAAAGGCCGGCAGTGAGAGGAGGAGCAGTAGGAGGACTGGTGAGAATGAAGGCAGGCAGGGTTCTCGAGTGCTCTTGGCTCACAGCCCGGAGACCCAGCATAGTTTGTAAACACTTGCCGACTCGTAGACCCTAGTGCATGACCCGTTGTGATTGCCTGTGGAGTGACTTACCAGTAGTTTCTCATTCTGTCATTGTCATCTGTATGTGCTGTCTTCTCTCCTCTCCTTTCTTCCCGTGAATCCGACTGCACTGTAGACAGCTAGGGAAGCATGCTGAAGACATTGGTGTCATTCAAGATGAACAACTTTCTTTTTTTTTTTTTCTCATGTGCTAATGGATATGATTCTGTCAAAGTAAAAGCACAGATGTTGAAATCCCATCGTGGTGTTTTCACCGACACGACACTCCTGTACTGTTGTGAAGTAGCTAGCTCGTCAGCATGTTCAATCCCATTACATCGAGCATCCATGTAGTCTTGACATTGGCCTGATGCAGGTGAAAAACACGTGAGCCATGTGAAAAGCGGTGTTCATGTAGGCGACTAGGACACATTTCGGTGTACAGTGTTAGCATTAGTCTCTCTGTAAAATCTGAGTACTGCTAAAAGCAATTTTCCAGTATCGTGTCTTTCTTGATGATTATTTTAATTAAGAAATTGTAAATCGTAGGTCCACAGAGTCCATGTGAGCGGACAGATATCAGGATGGCAATAGTAGCCGATCACCTGGGACTTAGTTGGACAGGTAAGTGTGTACGTTCCCAGACAAAACAAGTATTGTTTCTATAATTTTGTTGTCTTATTCACAAGCAGTCCACTGTACATTTTTTAAAAATACAAAGAAGCAACTAATAAAGGTGTTTTTATCATGTGCAGTCCTGTGTACACACACACACACACACACTGTGTTTTTCCAAAGCTTTATGTAGGCATGCACACTAAGGAATAGAAATTTAAATCTTACTTTAAATACTTTCTTCACAAAGACATTTCTGGCTATTTAGAATAAACTTTTACCTAATAGCAAATTATTTTATGCCATTAAACACAACCAACTCCTCCTATAACTTCTGTTCTTAGAGCAGTTCTCTTAGGTAGCTGTTGAAAACAGATTTTCATTCGTGAGTCATGTTCACAGTTTTTATGATAGACAAGGAGTCTTTGAAATGTTCATGGAGGGGGCAGGCAAACATTTGTGACACGGTAGGTTAAGCCACATGTTGGGACACCTACATCCTGTATCTGAGTGTCTGGGATCAAATCCCACCTCTGCTTCTGAGCCAACTTCTTGTTACTCGGAAGGCAGCACATACACTTGAATTCTTGCCACCCACATGGAATTCCTGGCTCCTGGCTTGTACCTGGCCCAGCCCCGGCTGTTTCAGCAGTTTGGAGAGTGACCTAACAGGTGGAAGATCTCTTCCACTGTATCTCCCTGTTGTTCTGCCTTTCATATAAATTAGTAAACTTTTTTTTCTAAAAAAAAAAAAGTTTATTGAATGTTCATATAATGAAAAACTGCTTGGATTTCACATTTCTTTGCACTAACAATCTTTTAAACCCATTTTTTAACAAACCTTCTAAACTTACTTTCTAGACATATAATCTGGAACATTACTTATCTGATGCTTTTACTCTTTAAATACACTTACCTGTATGCTCAAAGATTTGTTTAAAAGGAAAACTTTAGATTTTAATAACAGGAAATAAGGATTATCTGTAATATCTATTTTAAGCAGAAAACAGAGGAATGGCAGTTTAAAATTTGAGTTAATTTTTCCTAACGGGGCCAGTGTTGTGACACAGTGAGTTAAGCCAGCAGCTGCAACACCAGCATTGTGTGTGAGCACCGGTTAGAGTCCAGACTGCTCCACTTCTGAACCAGCTCCCTGCTAATACCCTTAGGAAGGCAGCCAAAGATGGCCACCCACGGGGGAGAACTGAATGTAGTCCAAAGCTCCTGGCTTTGGCCTGTTTCAGCCCGAGCCACTATGGTCTTTTGGGGAATAACTAGCAGATGCAAGATCTCTCTCTGGCTTTCCCTATTTCTTTGTAACTCTGTCTTTCAAACACGTGAGTCTTTAAAAAATAAAATATTTTAAAAACAAGCTACAAAAAAGTTAATACTCGTATGCTCAGTTCGCAAAAGTAGTTCAGTGAATGAATGAAATCGTTTATGATCAAAGCGTAGAAAAGGAATATTTGGCTTGATTCACTTCACTGAAGATGAGGTTCTGTGGACAATTCAGCTTTGTAACCAAATCCTACCTCACATGAATCTGAGAAATTTTAAAGTGTTTTAGATTGTGTTATTTATTTATTTGAAAGGCAGACAGTAACAGAGATCTTCCATCTCTGTTTTCATTTCTCAAATGCCTACAACAGCCAGGGCCAGGTAAGGCCAAAGCCAGGAGTCCAGAACTCAAATGTGGGACTCCTACGTGGGTGACAGAGACCCAAGTACTTCAGGTATCACCTGCTGTCGCCTAGAGCACCCATCAGCAAAAAGCTGGAATTGGAAGTGGAGCTGGACCTCTACCCCAGGCACACTGATACAGCATATGGGTTGTCGCTAGCAGCATTGTAATCACTCCAGCAAACACCCACTGCCTTTATTTATTTTATTTGTATTGAGTGTATTTTTACATGTATACAAAAAAGCATAATAGTAAAAATAACATCAATTGTTGTCATATCTAAAGTCATCTTGCATACCAGGAGCAACATGCATTCCATATAATTAGCTATGTTATTGAAAGGGAGAATGTAATGTGAACCCAGATAATGGGCAGCAAAGTCATCTAAATTATTTCCCACTGAATGCCCACCCCATCACCTCTACCACTTATTCAAGCCTCCTCTTCATCTCCACCCCTGCCCTCCACCAACCTCTCAGGTTCACTGCCAATGATTAGGAGCCTAGCGGAGTGCTAAAAACGCAGGTTATCTGAGTGATCATTTGCAGTTGAGAGAATCATAATTTATGCCTTATATTTGCTGACAAACATCAGGTTAATGTTTATATTTTAACATTGGATGCTGTAATCTGAAAATGTACTGAAGCAAATGTTGATTTTGCAATAGTATATTTCTGTAACTATTACTTTCCTTAAGTACAGTCTTTAGTTTGTCACAGTAAATTCTTAATGTCCTATGATTTTGTGTCACCAGACAATAGATAGTTTGGTCATGAAGACTTGTTGGGCAGTAGCAGTATTGTGTCTTAAACCACAGAGATGAAAGATTTTAAAAACTACATAATTCTCTAAATAGAATTATTATATGCTTACATGTAAGTAAATAAATCAGATTTAAACCTCTCCCTCAAAACTATTAACATCCTAATATGCTTTGACTTTTCTAAAAAAAAAAAAGTGTAATATGCATACCATCTAATGCTTGGCTTTTTCATTTGTAACTACAAACAGTTACAAATTTTATAGTTTTCTAAAAAATATTCTCTGATCTTGGGTTTCATGGATAAAGAGGATATCTAATATATAAACCTTACGATAGCATTTTTCTAACTGTGGGTTCCAAGGCACTAATGAATCATGAAATGAATTCATGCTTTGTTTTTGCTGCTAAATGGAATACAAAGGGAAATATCTGTAAATTACACATGTTGATGCTAAGTTTAGCTTCGTGAGGATCTGGCTTCATTTATATAAGTACCATTACATACAATTTATTTCTTAACTATAGGCCATGATAAAAATTGTTGGCAAGCCACTGCACCTTACGTTAATTTTTCTCCTTTTGTTCAACATATGGATTGCTTTCAATTGTTTGGTACTAAAAGCTTGCAATGTTATCTGTATAAATTATTGTATACCATCTTTAAGGTATTGACAGAATAGTTTTCTAGAAGTGAATCACTTGGTCAAAACACAAGGAATTTTTTGAGCTTCTGAATTCATTTTGCCAAATTGCTGGAAACATTTCTTATAGGGACTAGAAGCTTGACTGAATCCTTTCCCATTGGAGTATTTTTCCTATTTTTTTAATCATTTAAGAGAATACACACCTAAGAGTATAGCAAAATGTAAAATGAAATATGTGTTTCCTGAGGCAGCCATGAACACTTAGATCCTATGTATCTTTCCAAAGATACTGTGCATTTACAAGAATGAATGTATGAGTGTTTGCATAAACATGGATGGAAAGCCATCTCCCTTTTATTTCCACACAAATGGCTGCAGGTCCTATTTAATGATCTGACCTGCAGCCACCAGTTAATCTCCACAGTGGAGTTCATCAAAGTATAGAGGGCGAACCATTATGTGAGTGAGAGACCTATTTCATGAGGCTACTTAGAGGAAACCCTGTCAACATGATTAATTGAATAAATAATGCCCATGTCTACCTTGTATGCAATGTATTCAAATGGCAGGAAATCTGGTTGAATTAAAAGGAGCAACATAGTCTTTGTAAAGACAAAGGATCTTGATGAAACCATCTCGACGCGAACTCTGATCCCTAAGGAACTACCTCGGAGGAGTTGAGACACAGCCCGAGTAGGATCACTACTTTGTTGTGACATCAAGTAGATGAAGACTAATGCCCCAGGCTGCACTTGGGCCTTTCTACAAAAGTCCTTTTGTTTTTGTTTCTGTAGCACTTGAGCATTACTTTGATGAAATGTGTGTGGTAAAAAGTAGAATATGCAATCCTAGTAATTCTTTTTCTTTTTGCAGAACTGGCAAGGGAACTGAATTTTTCAGTGGATGAAATCAATCAAATACGTGTGGAAAATCCAAATTCTTTAATTTCTCAAAGCTTCATGTTATTAAAAAAATGGGTTACCAGAGACGGAAAAAATGCTACAAGTATGCTAAAATTATATTCTTTTTTACTTTCAAAAGTGCATATATCCAGATTTTAGATAAACCTACTTGCAGGTTCATTCAGATATAGGGGGAAAGAGCAGATCAACATAGAGTAATGGCAAGGTTTTTGCCGTTGCACTTCTTTAAGTAGATGCTAAGATTCTAAAAATCTGCCCTGAGAAATGTTTTTGGAAAGCAAGCAGTGGTGAATGTTCTGCATTTAGTCAGTCATTTTCCCCCATGACCATCACAAATGAAAACATAGTTGCGGCTGTTAGATGAGGGAAGGGTCATCAGAAACCCTTCAAAGTTACTGTCAGGAGCAGAGGTGGATGTCGAGCTAGGAGCGGAAAGCAGGACAGGACCGGTGATTAGGCAGACAGGTCTATGCAACTTCATTTGAGCTGGAAGAGAATTCTCTAATATGGTCGAGTTGGAAGTGGTTGGGTATGAATGGCGCTCTCCTTTAGCAAGGGCCAACCCCCAACACTCTGGAATAAGCACTCCTGAGTCAGCCCGACCTTAGTCAAGCATGAAGATGCTAAGCATCAAATAGGAGGGTGGCCGATGCTGACATCCTGAAAGCAGAGGCACTTGCTGAAAGTTTTATTAGATTCTCCCATAATGAAACGTTGTCCGGCTTTCTTAAAGCCCATTTGCTCTGTTAAAGTGAAATGAAGGCTGTTGTGATCACAGCGCGACAGAGTGACTTGTAAGACCCCAGACTCTCCCCTGTAGCAGTGAGCAGTCCGAGCCCTGGTGATAGTGACATTGAGCTGGAAGGCCAGGAAGGCGACAGCAGCCGTGTCGTGGATGTTGTGCTGCCGGGAAGAGAGTCATTCAACTGGGTTTCAACCTTTTTTTCTCCTTTTCAGCTGATGCCTTAACTTCGGTCTTGACAAAAATTAATCGAATAGATATAGTGACTCTGCTAGAAGGACCAATATTTGATTATGGAAATATTTCAGGCACCAGAAGTTTTGCAGATGAGAACAATGTTTTCCATGACCCGGTTGATGGTAATTGACTTTAATGTTCATATTTGTGTAATCTTTGGATGAAATTTGAAACTGTAGCCAGTCAGGCAGTCGCTTAAAACCAACTGACTTGCGATTTGCTTGATTTAATTTCTCATTTTCACAGCATTTTCTCTACCAGGGTCTGCAAATAAGCACTCTGAGATCAGAGCCAACTTGGTGAATGTCTCTGTAGCATAAAACATTAATAATGTAGCATGAAAGTATAAGTTACCTGAAAGAGCTGCTATTCTTAATATTCTCTGTGACCAAATGGAAAAAAGCTTAATATCTAGAAAATGCATTGCTTTTGTCACTTAGATTTTTTTTATTAACCTAAAAGGCTTGTAATCTCTTTTATTCACATATCAATAAAACTAAATTGTGAGCCATTTTTACCAAATAAGCAGGGTACTGAATCAACTTGCAGCATATATTGTACAAATTAAGGTCAAATGGGGAATTACTGAACTGGGACCAAGTATTTATGTGTGCACTGAAAGTCTAATATATCACTCAACTGTTTTCATTATTTAACTTTCTTTTAACTTTAAATGCTGCTGTTTTTCTTTGTAAAAACCCAACCTGATCTATCATATATAAAAGGCAGCATAATTTCAAAATCAGTGAGCACAGATGTCACTAATAACAAAAGAATTCCTTTTTCACTTTGCCTTCATTTACATGATATTGTCATCTTCCCTTTATTACATAGCCTGGGGCTTTTTAATCAAAGTGTTGAGAAATGCCTAAGATTATCTTACTATGTCAAGCCAGTCTTGGCCTTCCTACAATGAGTGTTGAGTAGAGAATGTTGATGATGAGGAGGAAGCAGGAAAAGGAGCTAAGAGATGCTTTTCTACTATTACAAATTTTAAAAGCTCTGGTCAGATTTTTCTATTTTTCAACTGATCAAGTTAGACTGACAAGAGTCATTTCCAAATCTGCATATGTGATGTGATAAAAGATCTCAAGGTCTTAGACAGTTTCTGCTTAGCACAGTTGAAGTGAACAGAAAATTTAAAGCACACCTGTTATCCACCAAGTAAACACATAGGAAATAAGTCAAAAGTGGTTCCTTTTTATGCTTCTAAATGACATAGAACCTTAGGAAAAAATTATCTTCAGGGCCTTATCTTATATGTGAAGCTATATAAATAAACTTTTTGCACTAAATACACATCACTGTTCTATCAATTCTGAATCATGACTAAAGTCATAGTGTGTAGAGTCCTCTAATACTCCTTATTGGGGAAAAAAACTTTAAGGACAGTCCCACAAATCAAAGCGATCACCAGCAGCATAGCAGAAATACTATGCTGTCATAAGCTTTGTGTAATTATAACCTTGTAAAACCAGAATTATCATTAATGTAAACTTACAAGAAAATTTTCTTGCTGTCTCTTCATATTTTATATTCCTTGCTTAAAATTTTCTTAGGGAAAATTTAGGAAGGTGTAAGTGAAGCACCGTCTCACTATGCAGATGACGAGCTCCAGCTAATCTTAGCCAACTTTTCAACAAAATTCTGGTTTATGGGTGACCATAACTGAAATATGCCCACTTGCCTATAGCAGTTTGAATTTAAAAAGCAGCTCAACTGAAATTTACAGTGGGCTGATGGAAAAATTTGGCTCTGGTTTTATGGACCAATAATTCAGAAAATGTGCATTTTTCTCCTGTCTCTCCTCTTGATTGAACTTTGAAACCTCCTTTCCTCACCATGACCAGACCATGGTTGACTTTGCTCTCTGCTGAGACAGAAAAACACATTGGTTAGTCCACACAGCAGTGTTTCAAACAAGGGGTTAGCTCCCTCCCTTCCTTCCTTCCTTTTGTGTAGACTGATTAATAAACTCTGTTTCATAGTGTGGTCATGACCATTCAGAGTGCTCTTTGCAAATGGTTTTTTACCTCTCTGTGTATCACGTGTTTTTTTGCCCTGTATTTGATTCGTGGTTCTAAGTAGACTCCATCATGCACTTCACCAAAACATTCACCTGCAAGGGTACCTGGAAGAGTTCATGGAAAATGGAATTAAAAGATAAATTTATTTTGATGCCAAAAATTCTTTTGAAATCCATGTGTAGTTGTTTCATGATACTCATTTTGCAGAAATTTTGCAGACTTTCAGATGTGTGGATTTCAAATTCTTTTTGCACCAAAACAAACTTCTAATTCCTCTTTCCGTGAACTTTTTGAAGTACCCTTGTACACCTCCATCTTTCATCTCTGTCACATATGTCACCCAAAAACTTTATATGGAGCCTTTTCTACTTTGTTTGCTTTTTGAATCATTTTCCCCATCATGTGTTTGGATTATTTTTCCCGGTGCTACTGCTCTAAAATCTGATAATCATTTCTTTCCAAAGATTAGCTTCATTTTCTTTATTGTAAATTGCATGTAAAACTAGAGTTGGGTTGTATTGCTTATATGTACAGTTTTTAAAATAAGGTCATTAATTAGGAAAATTGGTTTCTTGTGGCTTTCTGTATTCAGTCTACCACAGTATGAATTTTGCATGCTCAAAGTAGGAAGCTAATAAATTTAGCTGTTAACTAAATGTATCTTAAATAATCGCTAACTTAGTTGGATTAAATTAGTCTGCACCTTTAAGCTCCTATATTAAAATTACAAAAACTGATAGAAGCAATTGATATTAGTGTTCCATTTTATTGTAGTTTGCACTAGGCTTTTTATTTCATTGTATTGCATTTAAGTGAACTAAACCAATAAATTTGTCAACATGATTCTGTATTTCATCATACATTCTCATACTTGATCTATCTTGTCATTCCATGTGTTTTTGTTTGTTGTATTCTAATTCATTCCAGTCAGTCCAAATGTACTGTCTTCCATAGGTTATGCTTCCCTTCAAGTGGAACTGGAAACCCCCTCAGGCTTGCACTACACACCACCCACCCCTTTGCAGCAAGATGATTTTTTTAGCGATATCTCTAGCATAGAGTCTCCCCTTAGGACCCCTAGTAGACTGAGTGATGGGCTAGTGCCTTCCCAGGGAAACGTAGTGCATGCAGCAGATGGACCTCCGGTCGTAACTGCAGAAGACACCTCCTTAGAAGACAGCAAACTGGAAGACTCAGTGCCTTTGACAGAGATGCCCGAAGCAGTGGATGTAGATGAGAGCCAGTTGGAGGATGTGTGTCTGAGTGAGTATCCTCAATACCTCGGAAGTTTCCCTGGGGTCCCCGAGGATGGTAAAGCGGCAGAGCCATGGAAGCAGACTAGCGAAGTGGCAGTGAGCTGTGAGCAGCAGGAGAAAGGAAAATCTGGTCCTGTTGAGGAGATGACGGAAGAAAAGCTCAAATCTCTATTTGAGGACATTCAACTCGAAGAAGGAGTAGAGTCTGAGGAAATGACAGAAGAAAAAGTACAGGCTATTCTTAAACGTGTTCAGCAAGCGGAACTGGAAATGTCTTCAATTACAGGTTGGCAGAACGAGACATCCGGCGGAAACGTAGAGTCTCCCGCACAGGCGCGAAGAATCGCTGGTGGGTTACTCGATCGGCTGGACGACAGGTATGGCTCTGTGGCAGGGAAAGCAAAGTGGAGCGCAGGTTACCTGTGAGCAGTGTGTTGTGAATGCATGCTTTTTAGCCTTGACATTTTGTAAATGACCATTCTAGTTTGGGGATACTACTCGATTTTAGAGTTGGTTCCTTATGCCCATCTGGTGGGAGAAGATTAATTTAAATTCAAATTATGCTCCAAACTAATGACAGCCTGGAGTAAAAAGGAAAAGATTTTACATACATGCCCAAGATTTATACATTGCCTTTCATTTGGAAGACTACTCTACTCTAGTTTATTTGCATTATTCTTATCGCATGGCTAATAATTAATGTTCATTCAAAATAGATAAAAATCCAGATCTTTCAAAATTGAAACATTTATAGTGTGTCCTAACTGTAAAAATGCTTACATGCAAACAGAATATTAAATTACAGGCTACGAAGATCAGTTCAACCTTATCTAGTAATAACTACTCTCAAATTTTTTTGTTGATTTCCTTTCTTCCATGCACATTCTTTAGAATGTCAATGCTGGAAATGCAGAGAAGCCAAAGAAGAAAGCTAGAATACTAAGAAAAATACTGCCAACTTTGTCCCTCTATTGTTTACATATAGAATGTTTTTCATCATTTTAACATGTAATTTTTTTTCTTAAATATTCATTTATTTGAAAGACAGATGGACAGAGAGAGAGGAGAGGGAAGGAGAGAGATCTTCCATGCAGTTGTTCATTCCCCAAATGACTACAACAGTCGGGGCTGGGCCATGCCGAAGCTCAGAGCTTCATCCAGGTCTCCCACATGGTGGTACGGGCCCAAGTACGTGGGCCGTCTTCTACGGCTTTCCCACAAGGAGCTGGGTTGGAGGCGGAGCAGTTACACAGCGTTCATGTGAGATGCCAGCATCATAAGCAGAGGCTTAGCCCCCTGCTCCACAACACCAGCCCCTGAAACATGTAATTCTGGACTCCAAATACCGTGACCATGATAGACATTTATTTATAACAACAATAATTCCCTGATTGTAAGTCAGGCCCTGCTATAGAAAGGTAAGATCCAGTGTTCCTAAGGTGTTGGTTCAAATCCTACCACTGAGGGGTAGGCTCTGTGATTTAGGAGAATTTCTAAGTAGTAAGAACATCACTTTGGTCATCTCTCTACTACTTTCCTCCAACAGGTTTACCAATCAAAAAGCAAGCATGTATCACGCCTCCCAAATGATTGGTGCAAATAGTAATCTCTTAATAATTGGCATTACTTTCATTTATGCACACATTATTGCTTCAGTGGCAACTTGTGATAAACTTTCGGTTGGATGCAAAAGAACTCATGTTGTTTCACGACCCACTTCTAATATTTTCATGCCACTGATAAGCTCTTGTTCAGTAAAATGTCCCACAAGGAGAGTTAATATAATTTTCCAAAAAGGGAGTTTATAAAATTTTCAGAGAAAAATTTTCTAAACTCATTTTGAAAAATGGAATCATCAGTCAGTTCTATATACAGCCCACCAAAGAGACAGCTGCACAAAGAGTGCTAGTTTTGAGTCTATATTCTAGGATAGTCACATAATTCATAGTTATGTGTCAGGAAATAAACTTAGATATTAAACTGGTTGAAATTCCTTATTTTGTATATATATAAAAAACATATATATATATATAGGCTCTGTCAGTAAATTACATATGCAAAATTCTAATGAGTTACCCGGTTGTTCTGTTAAAATAGGAAAATGCCAGCGACTTTGCCCCTCATATTAGCGTATGTAGAGTAGAAGAACTTAGGCAAGCAGTGTGGACTGGCTATTTGGGGAGTGAAACAGTGGATGGAAGACCTCTCTCCCTCTCTCTCTCCCTCTCTCTACCTTTCTGTAAATCTGCCTTTCAAATAAAAATAAATCTTTAAAATAAATAATCTAAACTTGATTTAAAAGACTATGTATGGGTATCATATAGATTATATACACCTATGAAACATTTCACTAATTACTGTGCTTCTGCAGGTGTTAAGCAGAAATACAAAAACAATACATATGTTACGAAATGAATTGTCTATACTGAAACTAGTAAGAAAAAATTAGAAGTTGAAATGAAGGGTTTTAACAGTTAGGGCAAACAGTCTTCACAGTAAGCAGAAGCAAAGGGTGTGCACCAAGATGATCCCCTGTGATATCAGCAGAGGTCAGGATTGGAGAAAGCTGGCAGTCAACTGAAGCTATCGGTAGTTGGAAAAGCAAAATAGTAGGCGCCACAATTGAAAACGTAGAAAGTACTGAACTGTGGACCTCTCGCAGAGTTCAGAGTTCACCAGGGAACTCTATCACAGGACTCACTGAGGAACATCATTTTGTTCTTTTTTTTTTTTTCTTACTAGTGATAGAAAAGGATGTTGAGGTATCTTCCATTTTTAGATTGATAGAGTGGGAAACTCTAGATAGGTCCAGGAACCTCTCTGGATCACTTTTCAAGATGTAAAATCCATGTACTTGTAGAGCTGCAATTAAAAAAAAAAATGACATGATGGCTAGCCAGGTTGAGGGGTCCCTGGAGCCTGTGCACACCTGCCTACACCCCTACCCGTGAGAGCGCCTCACATTTTAAATCCTGTGATCGGATTTTTCATGCCCCTCTATGCCTTCAGGAGTAGTTAGAAAATATGCTTGCTGGAAACTCCGAGCGGCTGAAGCCCCTTTGCAGCCACATGTTGCCATTGTAAATTTGCACATTTTGCCTTTTGCAGCCCTGACCAATGTAGAGATTCCATTACCTCATATCTGAAAGGAGAGCCTGGGCAATTTGAAGCCAATGGAAGCCATGCAGAAGTCACTCCAGAAGCAAAGACAAAATCTTACTTTCCAGAATCCCAAAATGATATAGGGAAACAGAGTGCTAAGGAAATTCTCAAACCAAAAATACACGGATCCGGTCGTGTTGAGGAACCCGCATCGCCACTAGCAGCATATCAGAAATCTCTGGAAGAAACCAGCAAGCTTGTAATAGAAGAGCCTAAACCCTGTGTGCCTGTCAGTATGAAAAAGATGAGTAGTAGGACTTGTCCTGCACATGGCAAGCCGAGGCTTAACCTCCACGAAGAAGAGGGCTCCAGTGGGTCTGAGCAGAAGGTACGTCATCCGGGCATCCAGCGTGCCCCCCTCCCCGAGTCCCTCCCTCCTGGTGCTCTGCTTGTTTTGCTTCCTCCTGTAATCCTGGGCTCGAGGTCCTTTCTGTGACAAGAATACAAGCATGTGCAGTTGCAGCATTAATGGTGGAGGTGAGGAGTGTACTGAGCAGAAATCATACTTTGGTTTCCTGGGTAAGAAAAAGGACTGTTTCTTTAGTCGTCTTCAGGAAGGAAAATAACCCCAGCAACATTAAACAACTAATTTAAGGTGCAGGATTGATTTTTTCTGGGATACACACTCCCACCTCCGAATCCAGCCTACTTCCTTTCAGGAGGAAGAGAGGGATTTTGACCTTCTCTGCTTCTGTGGCATAAATGATCTGTAGCATTTGCTCCATCTAAGAGTTCTATGCTATCGCTTCTCGGCCTTCTGACTAAGATCAAGTGTAAGAGTTCTATGCTATAAGGTGTGTCTTGAAATGATGAAACCAGTTCCCATGCCTAAAGCGAGGTAGATGGACAGCCCTTACAGATTTAAAGTTAGAAATGTCACTTTTATAATTCTTATATCCAGGCTGATAACTGTCTTGACATTTGTTTCCAGTAATTTTTAGATCTTACTGTTATAACATTATTTGTTTTTTCTTTCCGCTTACATGTTTTTTGTGGTTACATCAACTAGATTTATATGTATTTCTACCACTGTTGAAGTAAAAAATGTATTTTACGTGGAAATTATGGCTCACAGATGGATGTAAGAAAGCAGAAATGAGCTCTACTCCTATTTCCTACATTGTTCACTCCTTTTTGTACTGTCAGTTTTTGTGCGATACACAGAATCATGTGTTTGGAATAATGGTACTTGGAGTTTTGTCTCAGCTTCACACCCATTGCTATTTGGGGAGGAAAAAACAAGTCTCCTAAAATAATGAGTCCAGGACTACGGTGAGATCTTGAACAATGTGTAGTGCACTCCCAGTCACTCAGAAGCTAACTGCAGACTCATTAACTAATCATACCCTTTCCTTTTCCCTTCTGCAGACTGTTTTCCTGCTTCTCAGATGGGAAAGTGAGAGGAAGTAAAATTTTAATCCATCTCTTTTTTTCCACTTGAACTGAAGGTTATTTTTGGATATTATATAAGCCAATGGCTACCATCACCAATAATTAAACTTTGAATGAAATGATTCGTTGCCAGTTTTTAACCTTTTGAGTATTTCTTTAGGCCTTTCTTTGGCTCTTGACAAGTGAAGTTTTGAATACTGATTTCTATCTTTGACCTGACCTTTTTAAAAATGTGCCCACAAAATATAGGGTGATATTCTACCTAGGAAGATTTATTCTGCAAAAGTTTCTTAATAAACAACATGGAAATTCTTAAATGACTATGCAAATATAGTAAAGTGTGTGTGTATGAACATAGGTATCACCTACTGTAATAAAGAGGGTTGACATGGAGAGCATCAGTAATGGAGGATACTTACCATACAGAAATGGCTTTCAAGATTTCCTACAAATTTCTGCATTCCGTGTTGGTCACCTGCCCTAGTTTAATGCGTAAATACTTCATGGCCATAAAAATCCACAGTGAAGATAAAGCTTCTGAGAAACCCCAAAATGTTCAGAATTGTGTCTCTTTTGGCTACATCATAGTACAGTGGCAACTAACTCGTTCACCTGATTGATGTATGATCTCAGAAAACAGCCCATTTTTATCCCCTAAAAAATCAGGTCAAAAGTCCGGGTGCAGCTCTTACGCGGATGACGGCCTGCTGCTACAAGGTAAAATTCTGTTTTCCACCTACTCCCATGTAGCGACCAGTGAGTCTGAGCAAGGAGTACTGAGCAACTTCTGTTTAGTCTCAGAGTTTCCAATTTGTAGAGCATTCTAGTTGATAATAATAAAAAATAACATCCTGACCCTGCCGTTCTACCACTGTCTTCTCTCTACCCTTGGCCTTCGGCTTAACAGAGACTCCAAGGAGAAACTGGAAACTACTGCACTGACCAAATGGTCACTTTCTGTGCATGGGGCTGGTCTCAGATGATCCCCCATAACTTATGATGGAACGGGCATCGTATCTGTAAGGAACCACTGTCTTGCTTTTGAATTTACCCAAGTGAAACCCTTCCCCCCATTTAACATGCCTTGTGTGGATAGCTCAGATCCAGTTTTTCCTTTTACTTCATCCAACCTCTTGGTACTGGAATGGAAATGAGTGCTTGTTTCGTTTTGTTCATAGGAATTCCTCTTACATTTTTTCGTTGTTCTGAGACATTGCAGAGTTTCCTTTCACAAAACCTAGATCATTCTGAAGGTCTTGAATTTACTGGGCTCTCCTGAAAAATTTTTAAATATAATAGGGAGCTCAGTTTTCAGGATCTCACACCCTGCAAAGATATTAGCTGCTGTTTGCTCATTTGTTTGGTTTTTCTTTTCAAGATTTATTGATGTATCGACAGGCAGAGTTACAAAGAGAGAGAGGGAGAGACAGATCTTCCATCTGCTCGTTCAGTCCCCAAATGGCCATAATAGCCAGGGCTGGGCTGGGCCAGGCTGAAACCAGGAGCCAGGAACTTCATCGGGGTCTCCCACGTAGGTACAGGGGTCCAAGTAGTTGGGCCATCTTCTGCTGTTTTCCCAGGCACATTTGCAGGGAGCTGGGTTAGAAGTGGAGCAGCCGCTCATATGGGATCTGGCGTCATAGGCAGCAACTTAACCCCACTGCACCACAATGCTGACCCCTGCTATTTCCTTTTCAAATCACATTATTTAGCAGGGTATTTTGCCAAGATGAAATTTCTTACTGAACTAAGGTTTATATTATTACAAAACTTTAAAATACTTCTATATCTTTGGTTAAAAAAAAAAGGCCTAGTTCATTGTTGATTCAATTAACATTTGTAAATCGATTTATCTAGCACTTTTGCCTCCTAAAGCATTTTTCAGTATTTTTACAAATGTTGAGATTCATTTTCCCATAACTCTTTTTTTTATTTTAAAGATTTATTTACTTACTTGAAAGTCAGAGTTACACAGAGAAAAAAGGAGAGGCAGAGAAAGAGAGAGAGAGGTCTTCCATCTGCTGATTCACTCCCCAACTGGCTGCAACGGCCAGAGCTGTGCTGATCCTGAAGCCAGGAGCCTGGAGCTTCCTCTGGGTCTCCCACATGGGTGCAGGGGCCCAAGGACTTGAGCCACCTTCTATTGCTTTCCCAGGATCATTAGATTTGGGCTAACTAGTAAACTTGGAAACCATTTTCAGAATCCCACCACTAAAGTTTAGGAATAAAATTATTCAGTAAATACTCTTCTCCATGCCATTATAGTAGAAATTAAAGAGTTCACCTTTGAATTATAACCTATTGACCACTTGGTAGTTGTTCCCAATTCCTACCCTTATTTTAAAAATATACATATATATTCTTATCTATGAAATGTGCTACTTTATAATTAATTTAATAGCAGTTCTTTAAAAATACTTCAATCTTCCACATGCTGCTTTTTGATTTAGTTAAGTAAACACTTACTGGTAGCAATTATGCTGATAAAATTATCAAATTTAACCAAAGATTAGAAATAGCATAGGTCTTTCTAAAGATTAGATTAAATGTAGCCCAAACTACAGGGTTATGTGTTCAAGTTTAAAAAAAAAAAAAAAAGGTTTAAAATGGAAAACGAATTTTTTTTCAAACTCATAATGGCATGTAATTTGATTCCAGAAGTCTTTATTTTTTAAAAATTCGTCATTTAATTACCTTGCTCTTTCTTTTTAAAGATTTATTTATTTATTTGAAATAGTTACACAGAGAAAGAGGAGAGGCAGAGAGAGAGAGAGAAAGAGAGAGAGAGAGATCTTCCATCCAATGGTTCACTCCCCAATTGGCTGTAATGACTGGAGCTGCGCCAATCTGAAGCCAGGAGCCAGGAGCTTCCTCTGGGTCTCCCACGCAGGTGCAGGGGCCCAAGCACTTGGGCCATCTTCCACTGCTTTCCCAGGCCATAGCAGAGAGCTGGATCGGAAGAGGAGCAGCAGGGACTAGAACCGGCGCCCATATGGGATGCCGGCGCGTCAGGTCAGGGTGTTAACCCGCTGTACCACAGCGCCAGCCCCACCTTGACCTTTTAACCTGCAAATATGTGTAGGTATGTGCACTCACACAGAGCAATTTTACTTAGAATCCAACCCAAATATTTTCTCCCACTGCATTTTTTTTTGTAAGATTCTTACAAGTGTACCTCATGATTTTCCTTAGTGGGGAAAAAAAACAGCAAGTAAATATAATTCTTTCTTGATTTCCCTTCTCTGAATATCTTTTGTTTTAATGTGATAAAATTATACTACAAATGCATTTATCAGGACTGGAAAGGCAGTGAGAGCGAGTCGAGCTCAGAGGAAGAACACAGAGTCACTACCCGAATTACTCGCCGGCGACTGATTTTAAAGGTATCCTGCGGCCAGTCCGCTGTGGTGTACTGCTGCCTTCTCAAAGTCCTTTCAGCATGCTTGCTAGCTAAATGACTGTGTTTCTTTGCACACTTGAAAGATGATTTAAGAAAAAATAAAAAGCTGTGTTGCATGGTACTGAGGATTCTGTGTAGCCTGACTGACATGTAGCCATTGTAGTTTAATTTGAGAATTCTTGGCGCTTCTGTCTTGCTTTCCTTGGAGAAGTGTTGTGAGTGTGAATAAAGATTCTGTCTTGGGAAAGACTTGGAGCCACAGGAACTATAATGAGCTTTGAGTTGAAATTAAAAATGAAAGAAAAAAATGGAAAAGTTTCGTTCTCAGTCTCTAATTCCTACTACCTAAGCAATGGCTGAGAATTTGATGTGATAGCCTCGCATGAATGTATGAGATGTGACATAAGCCAAGCAAAAACTTCTGAAATAGGTTTTTAACTTTTATTAACATAAAAGCAAGATAGTTATATTTTTAACTAAAGGGAGTCATTTTTACTGGGAAGGAAAAAAAATCCACCATATTATAGTAGCATTGAAAATACTATGAATAAATATTCTTTATTCTCGCCACCAAGGCCTTGTGAAGCACTAGACTTTATTCATGGCGAAGTCCAGTAGACTATTTCTCCAAGTCTGCCACCTGCCTGCATCACTGTTAGACAAATCTTTCTGGATGTTCAAATAATTGAATGCAAGGTAGGAAGCTATTCTAAGTGCACAGGCTTTAGAATATGCTGCAACTTAAAGCATCTTGGTTGGTAGCTCTAGAGAAAAATGGAAGAGAACGCTCTCTCAAAAACCACCTGCCAATCTCATCCAATCCCCAAGCGTTAGGAGAAGCAGCAGAGAGCAGAAAAGTTGGCTTAGGTATCTCAGATTTCTTAATGCAGCTGCTTTGTGCTTTTCCTGAGACTGAGAGAGAGAGAAGAGAAGAAACTGCCAATCCTGCTTGAGTAGAGTTTGTCCACTACTCTGAAAACATTAGAGAAGAAAACAAGTCCTTATCTAAGTTTTGAGTGATTCCCCAAATCAACCATGAGCTAAATAGCATGTTCTCAAATAGCATGAATTACTTTTCTCAAAATGCCACGTATATGAGTCAAAGTATTTACCATTATCTAGCTATCTATAAAATCCATCAGTCACTTCTCATATGTTAAATTAATTAAACCATACATATTCTTTTCTCGAGTTGTGCTATTCCTGTAATCAACATCTCTAAGAAATGATATTTTAAAGAGAAACTTCTAGAAAAAGCACCCCAGACATTACTTTGTAACTTGATTTTTATGCTTAACAAGTGACATACTCATGTCGCTTCCAACTCTGCACCATCACTCTCTAACAGCTGCCTGTTCTACTCGCAGAAGCCGGCTCTCCTCCAGCTCTTCCAGAACAAATAAAAAAGTCTACCTTTCGCTAGACTAAATCAGACATTTGGCCTTTCAGCCCAAGGCTTCCTGTCATTGCTGGAAACTATTTGATGGGGCTGGAATGCTGGGAATGCGACCTACTTCATGGAGGCTGTCCAAGCCTGGAGTGAACCAGCACAGTTAGACTGTTTGCCATGGGACTCCTCTTAGCACTTGGTGTCTGAGCACTGAAAACTATTTTGGGGTTGCTCCATCCATCCCACAGCTACTTTGGGTTGGGAAATGTCTCCAGGAGGTGTGCTCAGCATTCCATTGCCACAGCCAGGGCAAATCTGTCTTGCAGGGTGAAAACATAACTTTAGGATTTTTCTCTTTACTTTTATACGTTAGATCCATTCATTTTTATGAAATTTATTCTACATTTAATATTTTCAAATTTCTATGGAGTCAAGTTAACGAATCCTCCCATTTGTCATGAGACTTTAAAATTTTATTGGTACTTTCATTTCTTTCTACACAGTTTGATAATATCACAGTGGTTTCAAATGCTTAGAGCAGTATAAATTATGACCATTCCTGTGAGTTTATCAGCTTAGCAAATCCAGTGATTGAAAAGGTAAAAACTTTAAATTCACTTACACCCAAACTGTTGTGAAGTTTGGTAAGATGCAAATAACTGCTTTTTTAACTGGAGATAATGCATAGTACAAATGTATTTTCATTTCTATTTTGCAATGTTTTTACTGGCTCTCCAGGTAAGAGTTTAAATATGTTTTTCCCCAAATCAAGCAATTCAGAAGTAGATAAAGTTTTATCTACCCATCCTATTTGCCAGAGGTAACGATCTTTCAGATTGTTTCACATGTAAATACTAATATATCTAGTATATGCATACACACATCCTCAGCTAGTAGTTTCTTAGACTATAAAAATGTGTTATACGCTACATATTACTTAGTAGCTTTTTGCAAAATATATCATGTCCATTCTTTTTTGGAATCCTTAATTGTTAAAGTGTCCCTCAAAGCAAACTGATACATTTCATTTTGATATTCATTCAGCTTACTCAAAAACCCAAGGAAAGAAACATAAAAATTATAACATTCAATGTTTATAATAGGCATCCAAAATAAAGTAGTTAGTCTTCATTAAGGATGCCACCAGAGATGAAAATGCAATCCCAAATGTGCTGTAATTTTCCACTGAAATGGGGGATAGAGGGAGTTGGGCCAGTAAGACAGTGGCGGGGAGGGGTTGTTTACTTAAGAACACAAACTATTTTTGAGAATTTTAGGTACTAAATTGAGATTATTCCGCCCTATTAAAGAGAAGCCTCAGAGCTTTCCCTAAGGTGAAACATGGTTTGTAATATATTTTACTAAATTAACGATGGATGAGTATTTTCAAAACATTTCATGACTCCTTACCATCTTTCCTATTTATCTAATCAACTTCTATGTAATCAATTCTCCCAATGTAGTGAGTTTCTACATCATCAATTTATTGTGACCTTATGAAAGCAGTTATTGACTATATTTAATGGTCATGTAAGACAATGACATACCTTACCTTTAATACTATATATAAGTGCTATCAATTTTCAATATGAAACAATGGAAATGCCTACATTCAGAATAGTTCCAAGCAACTGTTGTGGCTTGTTATTTATAAACAGGACTTTACTCTTCCTAAGGCTAATAATCTAAAAAAAAAAAAAAAAAAAAGATTTTATTTACTTATTTGAGAGGTAGAATTACAGGAAGACAGAGGGAGAGACAGAAACATCTTTCATCTGCTAGTTCACTCCCCAAATGGCTGCAATGGCTGGAGCTAGGCCGATCAGAAGCCAGGAGCTTCTTCCTGGTCTCCCATTCCAGTACAGGGGTCCAAGCACTTAGACCATCTTCCACTGCTTTCCCAAGCCATAAGCAGAGAGCTGGAACAGAAGAGAAGCAGCCAAGACACAAACCCACGCCTGTGTGAGATGCTGGTGTTGCAGGCAGAAGCTTAGCCTACTATGCCACAGTGCCGGCCCCTCATTATTCTTATCCCTACTTCACATTCCTTTCAGAGACTGTCAAAACAACTTAAAAATTAATTCATTCAGAATGTAATCCAATAGAATTCTATTTTGGTGCATTTTCCAGGGATCCTTTAACTTGCTAGCCCTCAAAACTGGACATTCCCCCCCCCCCCAAAAAAAGCCCACAAATAATTCATTCCTGTTTAAACTATAACAAAAGCTTTCATGAATGTTTTCCCTGTCATTACGCCTTTTTTTTTTTTTTGAAAACAAAATTGTGTTTTTATCCAAATACATGAAGCTAACTAGAGGAAATATAAATTACACACCCATACAACACCGTTATAGATTTACATGCATTTAAACATGAGACTCCTACCTTTTTCCAATTTCCTTCCCTCTCTTGACTACTTGAAAATTAGTCACAAGATTACAGATGAACTAAACATGAGCAGCAAGAAGCCATTTTGTTTTATTTTCTTCCCAGCTATCCACGGAGAGGTAAAGTGAATCACAGGTCCCAACCCCTGCTGTGACCTATCTACCCACAATCTATAACAACACAAAGTCACTTTGCCATCAGAACAAAAAAAATAAGGGACAAAATTTTGTTAGCACAACAAGATGATATTTTAGTCTTCATTCTGGAACCACATTTCTACCAGTTGTGACATGGGACAGTCACAGAATTTTCTCACCATTGGTCAGCATTCAGAAATTACCAAAGCCACTATTTTTTTTAATGTCTATCTCACTGAAAAAAATTGGAATTCCGGCTGTCTCAGGAATGCAATTGTCTTTATGATCTGCTGTTTTTCCCTAAAGGGGAACAATCATATCTGCGCACTGCACTGTAGCTTAATCTATTTCCCCTTTTCAACAAGAAGTTTGACTGACAGCTCAGTAGGCTCTAGAATATGATCTACCCTTGCAATGTTTATCCTTCTTTGCCACAGCCATGAGGGGCACACATCTGAAGCCGAGTGCCAGGGAGGAAGGGGAGGTAGTGCCGATGCAGCCCGGTTTTGGTGGCTGGGTGGTGCATCTTCACAGAGCTGGCAGACATTGAGAAGTCCAGCTAAGTCCTTCAAATCGCAGTAGGAAAAGGGAGCTGCCCAGAGAGCTAAGAATCTATCCCAGTTTTTAGACTCACCAGATGAAGACCTTTGACAGCTTTCCCCTTCTAAATCAGATCAGTTACTAAATCAAAGGTCAAATCTGCATGTCTTGGGTATTTACCTCGGTGGAAAGGGCTATGGCAGTGGAGATAATCAGACTAGATGGGGCCCCTTCAGTTCAAGGTAGCACCTCTTCAACTGTCCACACTTCATCAGTTACTCTCACTTATTTTCAGACTTGGAACATTTAGTCTAATAAAAAAAAAATCCTCTGTACTCTGAACTTTTCTCCTCCAGAAAAAAAAGTGTATATTCACTTCGGTAAATGAATGTTTAAATGAAACAGGAGTGGTATTTACTATGCCCCAACTAAGGTACATGCTTAACTCCAGTGCAATCAAGCTCAGTGCACAATGTACAGATTTGACAGGACTGATGAAGAATCTACCCAGTGGCATGGTCTAATCAGAGGTTAAAGTGAAACCTCTGGGCTTATGTGTGTGTAACTGCATATTATAATTACATGCTTCCAAATTCTTCTTCCTTGGAATTTGTTGCTAACCATCATTCTTACGAATTCTTGAGGTTTAATGCTTGGATGTCATTGACTGCTACCCAGCCTATAGAGTCAGGCTTTCTCCCTTGGATGGAAATAGCTGGCAGAATGCACAACCTCCTATTCTGGAACTCCAGAGCATGTGTGTGCAGTGTTGGGTAGTGTGGCCATCCCTCCAGCTAGTGTGTTGCTAATCTCTGTGCCACCTCCTTTAGGGAGAGGAAGCCAAAAACATTCCTGGTGAATCTGTCACAGAAGAACAGTTCACTGATGAAGAAGGCAACCTCATCACCAGAAAAGTAATCACCTTTGAGAGTTTGCTTCTCTTGGAATTGGGGGGTTGCGGTATTAAAAGACGGTGCTATTTGTGTGCTAGAGTGTCACTGCTGGACACGGAAAAACCTCGACTTGTCCCCATTGCCTCCTACAGATCACTCGGAAAGTAATAAGGCGAATTGTTGTCCCACAAGAGAGGAAACGTGATGATGTGGTAATGGAGAGGGAATGCCAAGGAGGAGGAGGAGAAAAGCTTGTGCACTCCCTAGAAAATGCTAGCAGGCTGGCATCTGCCGTGTGGCAGCTTGAAGTGTTTGCTGCTTTTGCCATTGTATGCATTTGCACAGGGTCAAAGGGAAAGACTTTTGCTGCTAATGTTCTTTCATGTTATGTATATTTTATATAACAATACTAGAAGTTTTCAGCAGAGGTTTCATTTAAGTTCCTTTATTGGGGATAGAACACGCCAGAGAGAGAAGGTAAAATTCTTCACCACGCTGACCCCTTTGGAAGTGCCGCAGCACTGCCCAGAGCTCTGAATTCCCTTGAGCACCTGCCTGGAACATGGATGGAGAACACTGCATATGCACGGGGTTTAAATGTTGGGATGGCCAAGAGTTCAGTTCCGAGTCCTTAGATCAGATGTATGCATTTTTCCCTTTCGGGCATATTCTGTGTGAAAATCCAGTGCGCCAGTTCAAGAAAACTCAAGACTGAACAGAGTCACTCACCAAAGGAATGCCCGTCTCACATCTCTGCTCATATTTCATTTCTGTTTCTCAGAGTGTCACCTTTTTGATTTTTTTAAATAGAAACTTCAAGAGACTGTTTATGTAAGAAAAAAAGTGAACTGAAAATTTCTCAGGAGGACTAAATCAGAAAGTTGGATAGGCTTCTCTGTTTGCTCTTACATATGGGGTAAACACAGTATTTGTACATCAACGTTGCCCTCCCAGGAGTGTGTCCTGGTGCTCAGTGAAGAGAAGTGTTGTTTTGTGAAGAAATTGCTGCCTCCTTGGTCTGGGAGTGAGAGGAAGGCGTTGGCAAACTCCACAAGCCTTTTCTTTTTAAAAGCTTCTCTGATCAACATCATTTCTATGGTGTCTCGTTCTTGATTCATACTTGACTGAGAAATTTCAGTCTCATGGCAGCAGATTAAATATTTGCTGGTTTAAACAGGCATAAAATTTACTTCACTGGGGTTAGGGGATCTTGAGCTTGAGTGATGATTTCTTCCAGCTTGCTCTAGCAAATGGACAGGCTGCTCAATTTCTTTAAAAAAAATGACTAACCGGCTGAGTTACTGTGAAGCAATTATGTTGTATTAATTTTGACAGTGCTCTCGAGCTTGCCGTGATGATGCTACGCTGTGTGGTTAAACCAAAGAGTGGATCTATCTTTGGACGTGAAGTGACCAAGTGCTTTAAACTGTTTCACTTATCCCTAATCCAGCCTCCAGGGACCAGAGAGTGGGAGCGACTTTCTAACTACATGTTTTTTGCCATGAAATCTTAATGTGTGTCTGTTTCCTTTTGAAGCAGGGAGAAGCTTATAAAGTGAAGGCAAAGAAAGAAGTCCGACCCGTGGAAAAGAAGAGCTACTCGTAAGAGTGAACGGTTAGTCAAGGGCGGTAAGTGTGCGCATACCAACAGCAGTGGGACTTGGATTCCTGGGAAACGTCTACATTTCACTGCTTAAGTGATTCAGGTCTTCCCTTCCTCTTTTTCACTCAATTACTCTTTTGAAAATACAGTATGCAGTCGTTCAAGTTTTTTATGTTTATGTATGCATATATATATATATTTATATATGCAAGTGCTAAATCTTGCCGCTAGTTCACAGTCCATAAACTTGCTCCTCACAGATTAGGCAGGAATTTAAATGTAAATAATGTTTGCAGAAGCAAATGTAAATAGGAATTTTTTTTTTCAATCTCCTCTTCCCCATGAATGAAGGCTCACTCTGAAATGCAGTAGCCTCATACAATCCCTTGGGAAGACTATTTGGCAATAAAGAATTCTTACAAATCTACTGAGCTGTATTAATCCAACCTTTTGCCATTTTTAGCCACGAGCACCTGTGAGTATAATTTTGGTTGAAATTTAGTGTCTGCAAAGTCTAAATGAAATGATTGAAACCCCCATTTACTACTTTGGATATTTTATATAAACCAAAGCACAAAATAAGCACTATTTGTTTCAAAAATTAACATTTGGCAAGTGAGCTTTATTTAAACTTGTATGGACTTTTCTTTATAAGTCTCACTTCTCCTTTGAACACTGATTTCTGTGTAACTACAGCTAGAAAGGTCAGTTAGGGTGAAAACCCCGATTTTTGCAAAGTCCTTCATCGGTCTGCCAGCTCAACCAAAATCATTTCTTTGGGGCTATTCACATATGGTCCCTGTAGCTCCACTGCTCAAACTCAAGTGCAAATGGGTTCTAGGCTTCACTTGTACACATCTGTTGCTCCCTGCTTATCAAAATCCTGGTGGGTAGAGTGCTAAGGTAAGGAACCCAGAGATTATCTAGTGCTGTTGCCCCTGATTTTGCATGTCAGGTAACAGTCCAGGTGAGTTCTTAATTCCCCCTCTCTAACCCCATCATTTGTTTCTTCCCTCGCAGATTTATCTCACTTCCTCTCCATGAGGCTTTCTCTTAGGCACTGAGCAGTCTCTGGTCAACACTCACATGACCCTGCCCCTCAAAGAAATTAAGTTTGAGAGATTTGGCCGGCGCCGTGGCTCACTTGGCTAATCCTCCGCCTGCAGCACCGGCACCCCAGGTTCTAGTCCCGGTTGCCCCTCTTACAGTCCAGCTCTCTGCTGTGGCCTGGGAGTGCAGTGGAGGATGGCCCAAGTGCTTGGGTCCCTATACCTGCATGGGAGACCAGGAGAAGCACCTGGCTCCTGGCTCCTGGCTTTGGATCGGTGCAGCGCCGGCTGTAGCAGCCATTTGGGGGGTGAACCAAGGGAAGGAAAACCTTTCTCTCTGTCTCTCTCTCTCACTGTCTATAACTCTGCCTGTCGAATAATAATAATAATTTAAAAATAAAAAAATAATTTAAGTTTGAGATATTTAACACTAACCAAGCCTAACTAGCCAATCACAGCAATATTTAATGGCACTGAGGAAAAAAAAATAGTTGCTGTACATACTCTAACAAGTGTTTTATGTATGTGTTTCATTTAACTCTCAGTCAGCCCCTCTTGGAGTGGTCCTCCTACTGTCCCCACTTAACAGATAAGAAGCAGGCCTAAAGTGGTTAAGGAAATGGCTTGAGCACAAGTGTGAAAGTGGCAGACACAGGCAAGCTGCCCCAGAGTCCACATTCTCTGCCTTGCTTACTGGATACAATGAAGGCTTCCTTGAGAAGGTGGTGTTTGAGCTGAGTTTTACAGAATGAAGAGGAGTCAGCCATTTCTGTAAGGATTCTGGTCTTCACCCTGACACCAGCGGGAAGTGACTGACGCTTTCTAGGCAAGGGTGGGGTAGGATCTAATTCGTGCCCTGCACCACTCTCTCCAGCTCACGGTAGAGAGTGATTGGATGGATGAGCAGAAAACTTGCTAAAAGACTCCTGCGAGCTTTGGCAGTGAGGATAGCTGAATCAGGAGATACTGACACAACTGGCTTTTTATTGGATCAAAAGAGTGCATGATGAGAAAATTCATGATGACATCAGTATAGCATTATCTAGAAAGAACCCACCCATGATGCATGTCCTACTGAGCCTGGTGAAAGACATACACACAGATTCATCAAATACTAAGCATGAGTTGACTGTCTTGAATGCATCTATTTAAGGGACTCTAAATGATAAATGAACTGTGAGTCAAAGAACTGAGTCAGCTTTAGTATGCCCTGAAATGTTTAGCGATTTATTCAATCATATACTCTGACTTCAAGTGGAGAGAACCAGAAAAGTCACCCATACCTGCTGAGCCATTTTTCTGCAGTCACATATATCTTGAATAAATGACACCAAAAGATATGACAGTGTTCCGCTTCCAGGGCCCTCTAGAATGTGCTAATGTAGACATGATTTGGTCACTAGCTCTACCAGAGGCTTTAAAATGATAATCATCCCATAAAGAAACTGTCTGGCTCACGTGCTCTACCACTATGAAGGGACAGAAATTCAGGTAAATTAATTGCTATGCATGTGAAAGTCATTTCAACATAAAGCACACTTAATGTTTCAGAAGGAAAACACAGTGATTTGACAGCAAGCCTGATTTTATTTCCCAAGGTAGTATTTGTCTCCCATAAGTGAACTTAGGAAATTAGTCCCAGAATACTGCCTGGAGTTCCAGGACATTGAATGTGTGTTTTGGAAAAAACAATTTGCAAATATATTGAGAGTTTTTATGATCTTGATGGCTGCCTCTTTTTTTTTTTTTAATATTACAAAACAACTACGCAAGTGAAATGCTGCCAGATTTCACAGAGTCTCAGATGGTTCCATCAGAATTTTTACTACCCATTGTAAGACCAGTTCAATTTTGAGCTATGTGAACCCTGCACCTGCTTTTCTTTGACTCACAGCCATCCTATTTTTAAGGGGAAAGCTAAGGACTTTACAGATTTGTGCGCAGTATGTAGGAATTTATAGTTTGAAAAATATTTTTACATTTTTGTCTTATTTCCTCCTTCAAGCAAATGTTAGATAGGTTAGGCCAGTTTTGCATGCAACTTTCTACAGATGGGATACTCAGGCTCATGGGGACCAGATGATGTGTCTGCTGCTACATGGTTCATGATTGCTAGAGCTAGAACTTGAACTCAAGATTACTGCTACTCAGCCTAGTGCTTTCTAATACACCAAACCATCTCTCGAGACTTATTAATGAATAAGTCATTTTTCAATCAAATGATTTCTGTATGCTAGGCACTAGGTAAAATCACTACATGTATTACCTCATATAATCCCCCAAAAGATACAATATTATAAATATTACTATACCTTTTTTAGGAAACTGAGGTTTACAAAGTCCTATAGCTAGGGAACAAAATAATGAAATTTAAACTCTTGTATAACTTAAGACCTTAACTTACTCATATTAACACCATTTGACAAGTATTAGAGACCCAAAAGCAAATGTTTAGTCAAATAAATGGACAACTACAACCTATACACATTTCTTCATATTTTACACAGTGAAGCACTAAGATTTTTTTTTCATTTTTTTAGACTTAATTTTAAAAGTTTGTTTTTAAAACAGAGAGTGAGCATGCACTATCTTCCATCCACTAATCCATTCCTCAAATGGCCGGAGCTAGAGTGAGCTGAAGCCAGGAGCCGGGAGCTCATTCGAGGTCTGCCATATACATGGCAGGGACTCAGTTTCTTGAGCCTTCATGGCTGCCTCCTGGGGTCAGCAAGAAGCCGGAGCCAGAGGAGATGTACCCGGGCCCTTGGATGTGGGCTCTGGACATTCTAACCAGTGTCTTAATTGGTAGGGCAGACACATGTCCCTTTTTTTTACTTCATATTTAGGCTATCAATAATCTCGGGATTTTTATTTGAAATACCACTAGAGGGCTGATTAGCGAGGTCATGGCAAGAGAAGATCCCCACACGAAGGCTATTACAAAGACTTCTGTTTACAAGTAGCTCTATTACACACCACCTTTGGGAAAATGCTCTGGCTCTCACAGCCAAATGGAAGCCAAGGGTGACCAGAGTGCCTGCCAGGGCAGAATTTTATCCCAGGCTGAAAAATTGACTCATTTCATTCATTTCTTCAAAAGACATCCAACCACCTGCCTAGCTTGCAGTGGAGGAACTAGAGAGACAGAATGGCGAAGATCACTTCCATCTGTGGCCCCAGCCTTTCTGGATGCCCCAGTTCAACAGGGGAAAGAGATGGGACAAACAGGAGGAGCTTCCACAGAAAGTACATGGAGATTTTGCATTATCTTTTAATTCATTTTCCATGGTTGTTTTGAAGCCCCTCCTATTTTTTTTTTTTTTTTTTTTTTTTTTTTTTTTTTTTTTTTTTTTTTTTGACAGGCAGAGTGGACAGTGAGAGAGACAGAAAGGTCTTCCTTTGCCGTTGGTTCACCCTCCAATGGCCGCCACGGCCGGTGCGCTGCGGCCGGCACATCGCGCTGATCCGATGGCAGGAGCCAGGAGCCAGGTGCTTTTTCCTGGTCTCCCATGGGGTGCAGGGCCCAAGCACCTGGGCCATCCTCCACTGCCTTCCCGGGCCACAGCAGAGAGCTGGCCTGGAAGAGGGGCAACCGGGACAGAATCCGGCACCCTGGCCAGGACTAGAACCTGGTGTGCCGGCGCCGCAGGCGGAGGATTAGCCTAGTGAGCCGTGGCGAGGGCCCCATCTGGCTCTTAAGGAGCTGTATTGAAACAGGGCAGTGTAGGAGATGGGGGCTGGGCCTTTATACTGGAGACAGGGACTCCATCACTGGAGCCATCACTGCTGCCTGTCAGCATCTGCATGAGCAGGAAGCTGAATCAGGAGCCAGAGCTGGGTGTGGCACCCAGGTATTCCAGTATAGGGCAGAGGCATCCGAGTTGGCATCTTACTCATTAAGCTAAATGCCCACCCAAGGAGATGGCATTTGAAACAAACTTAAAGTGTAGAGTGGAGTTAGATATGGGTGACTAAGGAAGGGAATTAGTAGGTGGATACAGATTCGTGAGCAAAGAAAAATAATGGAAAGTAGTGCAGTCAACAGCTGTCTAGATCCTCAGAGGGAGGGCTGTGGACCCACAAAAGTGACGTCCCTGGGAGTCTGAGAGAACTACGGGTGTCAGGACTGAGCCCTCATCTGCTGAATCAGAATCCCAGGTGATACATAAGCACATTACACTTCACAGGGCACCAGCAGATGCCCCTGGCTCTCAACCTTGGTCAGACACTACAGTATAGATTTTTTTAAAATGTTTACGCTGGGTCCCGTTCCAAGAAATCTGCATAAACCCCTGTGGATGTAGCCCGGACTCCTGGGTCATTTTAAGTCTTCCCAGATCATCCTAATGTAATAATGTTTTCCACGCTAGAACACACAGAGCTTCAGTTGCCAAGCTAAAGATGGGAGATGTTTCTTAACCTACACATTAAGAGCTAAAAAACCGCAGGTATGTCCATGGGCTTGGAAGGGACAGGTCAATTGTGTGGCTAAGTGTACTCCTGATTGGAAGACATGATACAGCAAGTACAATATTAATCTGCAAAATAACCACCATGAAAACCCATTGAAGTAGTCTTTTTCTCTTTTAAAATTTCTATAATAATTTTCTTAATAGTTAAAAAATTAACAGGAAAATGGCAGAAAGCAATGCTTGTCTTCTAAGCTAGTTTCTCCTACCTTGGCTTTGGAAGGTATACAAAACCCAAAAATTCCGAAATGCAAATCTGTCCATCTCCGATTCATTATCTAAGCCCAGGAAGGGGTTAGATTCAAAATTCTCTTCCTGAAATGTTCCTGCCCTCATGCCTGCCCATCAGAGGGCGCCCTCGTCACAGTTTATACACAGTGCAGCTCTTTTATGCAGGGCACTCAGCCACTTAAATCACGGTGCTCGGGCTTTTTGTGCAGTGCAGTATTTGATACAAAGTCTCCGGCTTTTTGTGCAGTGCAATATTTGATACAAAGTCTGGTTCGTGTAGGACCTCCCTGCATCCTGTAAGGCTGAGATCAACACTGCACTACCAAGTTTTATAAGGGGAACTAACTCCCACTTTTAAAATCACACTCACTCAAAAACACGGGGACATAATTCATAGCATTTTTTTTAAGTTACTGAAATGTATCTACTATTTCTAGATAATGTTTGCTTACACTGAGGTAAGAAGAAGGCCTTGCTTCTTGTTACAAAATTCATCTAGGAAGTTGGGTTGGTCTTCAGTAGAGAACAACAAAAAAAATTAAACTAGGTTGTGAATTCCCATCTGTAAATTAACTAAAAATGATCAAACTTTCTAATAAATGGAATAAAGTGTATGTCACACAGTAAAACAGTAGGGGAAAAAGTTTAGAGAAACTTCCTGAGGATCCCCCTAAGAAACAGGGTGGGTGTGCACTGTGGTAACATTATAATGGGAACATCAGAGAAGCCTGGTGCCTACGAGGTTAGGATGAAGGGGTAAAAACAGAGGCGTGAAAATCCTGATCTTACTGCGCTTTGCCTGTCCTCTGGACATGATCTGCCCAATGAGTCACTTTCCTTCTCGGGACCGATGGGAGCCATGGGGGAGGGAGGTGCTGAAACCACCCAGAAGGAATTGATACTTTGATGTTCTTGGCTGCAAGCGTTAGTGACCTGGGATCTGAAGGTCAACAGCACTTTTAATACAAAAAAAAAAAAGGCAAGTCTCGGGCTCTATAAGGCAGACAGGAAGTGCGGCACTGACATTTTGCACAGGCCAGAGTGTCTCAGGGGATCCTTATGAAGACAGAGCAACGTGTCCAGGATAAGCCCAACAACCGCAGGCGACCGAGAACACTCTAGGTCCCCAAGTGAAGCCTAATTCTCAGGTTCTTCTAGGTTTGCAGAAATGCGTTGTTGCTTGTACATGAGTGGACAGGATTATTCCTACAGGACAGCATGCCTCAGGATTTCTAGAGGGGCTGTGTCTTATTCTCAGACAGGCGTTCAGTTCCATCAGCTCTTCACGGTGACTGGGAAAGCAGGACTCCATGTGAGAGGATCTATGTTCCGTGGAGAAGGAATTCACATAAGAACAATGCTGAACAAAAGTTTGAAAACCTTTGCTAAAGAATGTTGATTTATTTTGACATATTCAGCCTGGCCATCAAACACTGATGCTTTATATAGGAACTGTCCAGTAAGATAAGACATTCTCAGTAAAACCTCCATTAAAAAAAAAAAAAGCTAAATTAAATGATCCCACCATGACTGATGTGGACAGGAGAAGAAAGCTGTTCTTTGCAGTGCTAAAAGTTTTTAATAAAAACACTTTTAAATTATTTTATTCATGATGGAGGAAACAGACCAGACAGAGCGCCCATTCACTGGTGCGTTCCCCAGATGCCTGCAGCTGCTGGGGCTCAGCCGGGCCAGGCCAAGGCCAGGAACTGGTTAACACAATCTAGGTCTCCCACGTGGCTGCCAGGAACCCAACCCCTGTCACCATCACCTCCCCAGGCGCACAGTGACAGGAAGCGGGAGGGAGGAACCAGAGCGAGAGATGAAGCCCAGGCACTCTGAGAAGGGATGCAGGCATCTCATCTGCTGTGCGGAACAATGGCCCCACCAGCTAGTCTTTGATGTTAAATTACATCTGGAGAAGCCATTCCATAGAAATTAAGTAATGGCGCTGTTCTTTTTGCAGAGATTAGCTGGATTTTTGCAGCGGCATGGGGGAGGGGTCAGGGACTTATAAAACGTTCAGAAACAACTGAGATGCCCTACAAGGTGGGGAGGGGACGTCTGGTCCACCCGATAAGGCCCAGGAAAGCATCTGGTCTGGCCCTGCCAAGGCAGCTGCAGGCAGGACTCGAAGTCCAGTGCATCCATAGCAGGCTAATTTTGAAGTTGGTAAGTTTGCATGGCCTGCAAATGGTGTTATAAATATGCAGATGGTCCTTCCTCAGCCCTGCGCTGACTCTATCCCTGGCCTTTTGGGCCCATGTTGGTCATCAATATCAAAATGCAAGGCACCTGGACCATCTCAGATCACCTGTACCAGCCACCTCATTTATAAATGCTATGATTGAGGCCCAAGCAGCTGTAGTTGGCTCTCTGAAGAGCTGAGTGATCCTGGCTTCAGACACAACCAACAGGTCCCTCTGACTCCATCTCCAGAACCACAAATGCAGTAAGCAAGGCTCTGTTTAAATCACAGGGTCACCCAGATATGGTCTTTTGTTTTAAAGATTTATTTATTAAAGTCAGAGTTACACACACACACACACACACACACACAGAGCTTCCATCCACTGGTTCACTCCCCAGTTGGCCACAACAGCCAGAGCTGCACCGATCAGAAGCCAGGAGCTACTTCCAGGTCTCCCGTGTGGTGCAGGGGCCCAAGCACTTGGACCATCTTCTACTGCTTTCCCAGGCCACAGCAGAGAGCTAGATCCAGAAGTTGAGCAGCTGAATCTCAAACTGGTGCCCATGTGGGATGCTGGCACCCCAGGCAGCGGCTTTACCCGCTACGCCACAGTGCCGGCCCCAGTAAGGTCTTCTAATTGATTTCTGGTACGCTGTAGGGCCTTGTCTTCTGAGGCATCTAACAAGTAGCTTCTGTAAAAGCATCGTGTTAAACTACCCTACTCCAAAGTGGAAGGCCCCCATTCCCTTGGACTTTTCTGCTGTCAAGAAAGGCTTAGCCAAGTTCTCTTTAAAACAAAAACGTAGGTGGGGCTGGCGCTGTGGCGCAGCGGGTTAAAGCCTTGGCCTGAAGCGCTGGCATCCCTAATGGGCACCGGTTCAAGATCTGGCTGCTCTACTTCTGATCCAGCTCTCTACCTTGGTCTGGGAAAGCAGTAGAAGATGGCCCAAGTCCTTGGGCCCCTGCACCCACATGGGAGACCTGGAGGAAGCTTCTGGTTCCTGGCTTTGGATTGGTGCAGCTCCAGCTGTTGCAGCCATCTGGGGAAGTGAACCAGCAGATGGAAGACCTCTCTAACTCTGCCTTTCAAATAAAATAAATAAATCTTAAAAAACAAAAAAGTGGGTGTTACAGTACCTCAGGTTAAGCTGTAGGTCCAGACACACCCATATCTCATATGGGAAGGCTGGGCTGAGTCAAGGCTCCTCAGCTTCCAATCCAGCTTCCTGCTAATGCGTCCAGGGGGGTAGCAGGTGATAACTCAAGTGCTTGTGCCCCTGCCATCTCTGTGGGAGACCTGGGCTCCTGATTTTGGACTGGTCCAGCCCTGGCTATTGCAGGCATTTGTGGAGTGAACTAGCAGGTGGATGATTTCTCTCTGCCTTTCAAGTAGATGAAAATAAAGCAGCATTTACCAAAAAAAAAAAAAAAAAAAAAAAAGGAAGCTAAACTAAACTCACTGCCTTCTGTCTTTCCACAGAATCATGTGTTTTACTGCCAGTATTGAGAAATTCGTGGACGAAATATCAGCAGGAAAGAAAAATCCTGAGAAGACTACATGTGTTTGCTGCTTCCACCATTAAAATGGCATGATTTTTTTTTACGCAAAAAGAAAAAAGAAAAAGAAAACCACTCACGTTTTAATTTAGCATGAGCCAATTTACAGAGCATGGAAACTCACTTTCATTTCCAGGATTGGCACGTGTGCAATTAGCAATGCAGTTGTATATACAAGAAGCCATGCTGTTAACAGTTTATCTCGAGTCATTTGGTGTCATTTACAAGAGGAAGAAACTCCTGCCTCCAGAAGGGACAGAAGGAGACGGAATGATCAAGTGACAGAGAAACACTAAAATTACTAAATCCACAACAGCTCGCCTTATTTTTCTTGGACCCAAACTGTCAGGGTATAAACACTATTTGTTTCTTTTTTAAAACATGGATCATTTTGCTGTAAATACTAACACTGTATAAATCCTAACAGAAGAATAGAATAAATGCTGATAAGGCACTGCCTCTTAGAACACAAACCAGAATATTGCAGATGCATTTAACCTAACAGGGGTCTCAAGAGACTTCACCCTAGAAGAGGAGGGAGGGGATCTGGGTGGGGGGGCTCTTCACTGATTCTTGTATATTAGCAATTATAATGTTTGTATATGCAAAACTGCTAGCTTGATTTTAAAAACTTTAAAATCTGCTGCAAATTTAAATAATTCCCAAAATGAGGAATTCTGTAGTTCTGTGAAAAAATTTTTTCTTCAGAATACTAATATTTTGATGCATGTGTATCACCTTATTTTGATTAAACCTTTTCCAATTTTGCAAACACTACAGTATACTGCAACACAGAAGATTTTATCTGGAAACACAAAGCCCTTCATCTAATATTTGTTGCTATTGCCAATTTTTCAATGAAATGACCTAAAAACTACAACAAAAAAAATTTAACCTATACAGTAGTTGCTTTAGGGGGTGGGGGGTTGCTAACTGTTAGTGCTTACAAGGGGGAAATGCTTGCCGCTGTAGGGGTGGATGTGCTCAGAAGAGGCCCCAGTGGGGGGTAATTAAAATGGACTGAACTGAAACCCTTAGCTAGTAGAGGGGCAGCACGCTGTCAAATTATTCCTGTATCGTGTACTGGCTAAAAGATGTAGACACCTTTCCGTAAGCCAATCATTTGTAACCATTCTAGCAGTGTCATACTAGGTTTCTAAGGCTGCTGTGTTTTCAAGGGCATTTTTATTTGGGTTTTGGTGAAATTCTTTACTTTGTTGATTATAATCACATAAAATCGGCATTCATGGACACCTAGCTCTAATGACATATGTATGAAAACCCATACACTGGATGACCTAGTCGATTATTTAAGCATAAAATAAATTGTGTTAAACTCTTCATCTATCTGCGCCCTCCAGTGTCCTTGTGTTGTCTGGCAGAAGGCGTTGTTCTGACCTCTTGTGCTGTGAATCCTAGTGGCACTAATCTACCCTCCAGTCCTGTCTGTGCCCCTGTGGTCCCCCAAGAGCCAGTCCCTAGTATTCAATGCTGCCTTCACATTTCCAGCTTAGAAAGTACTGTGCATCTCGTGGAGGAGTCAGGAATGAACGATTAAGGGACTATCTCTGCCCACATCTGCTTCCAAAAAGTGGGGGGAGTGGGACCAGAAGAGCTGACTCATCAAGACGCTGTCCACAGGCACCTCTGAGCTCCATCTGACCAGCACTTGCTTTTATTCCATAAAGCCTGTCTTTCAGTTGGCATTCATTTGCACTCTTTACAAGACGGGAGATGGCATATGGTAACTCGAGTTCCTAACTTCACCTTCAAATCAAGTTTTGGCAACCATGGGCTTCCTGCCCCGAAGCCCACATCCCACTCCGGGCAGTTGTCTCTGCCTGCTCCAGCCAGGTGTGTGGTCTGTAGGTACCACAGTCCCATTTCTTGCATTTATGTGTTGGCACTGCAGTTTGCAGCCCATACCCTTCAAGAGTCTAAATTCTACAGGGGTGGATAGGATGACTGCTTTATTTTTTTATTCCAGCCCGCAGCATGGCATATATAGTAGTGGCCATAACCGTCGTCATTGCTAAAACTGGAATGATCACCGTGTGCCATTCCCTGTCCTAAACACATCCCATTTATTAACTCATTTTGTCTTCATAACCACTTTGAGTTAGGTACTGACTTGGAAACTAATAGCCATCCTATAAAATTAAATGATTGCTCAGAGCCATTCAGCAAGGTCGTATATATTGCCTGTCCATTAAAGTCACTGCCAAATGGGGTAAGGTCTTTCCAAGAGAGATCTGTTGTCAGTGCAGAAGGCATGTATGGAAAACCTATGCTAGACTGCATTTTGCATGGTGTCCCAACATGCCCCGATCCTTGCAGCAAAATCCTATGAACAAGCTGAGACCCCTCAAGGGATAGAACAACAAACCTTGCTCAAAAAGTTTTTCTTTAAACCAGGATCACAACTCAGGTATTCTAACTTCTCCTCTAAGTTATAAATTCCTGACACCTGATCCTTTCCAGAGGTGTTTATCCTGAACTAGAAATTGAATGGTATGTACTTGTCTAGCTGTCAAAGGATAATGTTTATATACCTGAAAATTTGACTTTAGGAATATGTGATAGGTTAAGCTTCTGGTGGGGAAAAAAAGTCATGAATTTACTCAGAAGTACCCAAAATATGACAGAATTTTATTTGCTTATATGTATATATGTACAATTTCTATGTATACATGGATTGAACAGAACATACATTATTTATGCCTAATATAATCCTTGGCCTGCTAGCTTATGAAAATGTATTTAAGCTTTTCATTGACTGACATTCCTGTTTAAAAAAAAAAAAAAGAACTGTGGTTGATAAATTCCTGGTATTTGCTCTATTTTTCCATGCTATATTCCTACCGACTTCCTGAGTTTGTTACACTGTGTTATCGATATATTGCCACCTTATGGCCACAGACTGTACAGGACCGTCTCACCACTTCCAAGAGGGATCTGCTGCCTTCATGAACTAAGCATCCAGCCTCCTTTCCTCTGTAAACAAGGACCGCTCTGGCAGCCTGCCATTCCACCACGCTCACCTTGCTGTCATCCTGGGGTTACATCAAGGCTTAAGTTTTTCTCCATTTCAAATAAACAGAAAAAGGTCTTTGCTTGCCTATATTATTATGAGAAGTCCAGAAGTCAATCACAGGAATATCTCAACCTCTGGGTCTCTCAGAAGCAGCCAGGGATCCAAAAGCTATCTTCTTGTCTAGGTGACTTGTGGTATTGCTGATTTGCTGAACAAGCCTTGGCATACTAAGCGGTGTATAAGGTCCTAGTGTCATTGCACCTCATGCAGGAATTTATGATCAAATAGCGCAGAGGGAATATTTCCAAGATTGAGATTGGAGCCAAACTTTTCAACAGTTCTTTTAGTAACAGGCACAAAAAAAGGCAGTGCAGTAATTTCCTATCTGGCTAACTGTGTACCACAAATTTTGACAAGCATACTTAGTAATAAGCCCAACACCTCACTTTTTAATAAATAAACTCAGCTCAAAAAGGGAAAAACAAAATTTACCATCTCATTTACTGATAGTTTTGTACAACTAAAGCTATTTATTATAGAATTCTTTATTCCTTAGTGCTTCTTCAGTTGGATAATAAACACCCAGAGGATTGGGGTGGGTGTTTAGTACCATGGTAAAGTCACTGCTCTAGATGCCTATATCCCATCAGAGAGTGGTTCTTGTCTCAGCTCTTCTGAGACATACTGTCAATGTGCACCCTGGGAAGCCACAGGTAATGGCTCAAGTACTTGGGTCCCTGCAATCCACATGGATGACCCAGATTGAGTTCCAGGCTCCTGGCTTTGATCTGGTCCAGTCCTGACTCTTGCTGGCATCTGGGGAGTGAACCAGGGGATACATCTCTACCTCTTTGACTCCTCAATGAAATAAATATACATTTAAAAGAAAAATTAGTATTACCTTAAGGGTTCTAACAGGACATCCTGGGACTCCTTACGTGACCCACAGAGTTCCATGGCAAAGTTGAGATGAACATGCTAGAGGACTCTGAAGGTGAGGGATGAACAGTGATGAACAAGAGGTACACCAGCATCAGGAGCTGCTTAAGTCACCATGGGTCTTCTGTTGATAGCCCAGCTAAAGGTGTTCTCCCTGCCTAATTCCCACGTTCTCAATTACTACTACTCTTGGGCCAAATAGCTCAAGCAAGGGCATAACTCTGAGACAGCTGGGACAGAATGAGGACTTGCCCAGATTTTCAAAGGACTTCTCTCATGTAAGGAACCCACCAGGGTTCCTTATTTTTTTCTCTGCTGTATGCACAGCAGAACCTGGAATAGTATGTGATGCCTCATGGGTGCTCAATAAAACTTGTTGAGTGTATAAAGTAATGAGTCAACCAAAATCACAGAGCGCAAGGGACAGCCAGTGGCAACTGTCACGCTGGGCACCATTTTCGTTCAGGCTCAACCAGGTTGGATATCAACAAGGAAACCACAGCTTTTGGTTCTCATGACTTCGATCGCCAAGGACTAACTGCTGTCACCAGCCTGTTCCAGCTGCATTACCCCCTTTGTTTGCCAGGAAGTCCTAAATAGTAGGGCTCAGTGTACTGAAACCTCTTGAGCAGGTAGCATAAAGGTTATACTGCAGAATGGACATGCTTCCCCCAGCCATGGCTGGTCTCCTCAGCTTCATCACTGATAAGAAGCCAAGCAAAAGTACAGAAAACCCATCACAAAACCTTCCTCTCTGTAAAAATCAGTAAATAAAAGTTCTGCTCAGTTGCCTCCATCTGGGTCTCGCTAGGGACCTGGTGTGAGTGAAGGACATGGAGGTTCTGAAATCAAAACCTGGAGGGAACTTAGACCACAACCAACCTGCAGTGATGTTTCATTTGGACCACATAGAGCTTGAAGAAAGATGGCTAACAATGTTTTAAAAATCAAGACATTTTAAATGAAAGTCTGCATCGGGTTGTCTTTTTATCTGAAGATGCAACAATGCGACTTCTGAAATTTCCTATGGCGACAATCCCCTGCAGCACAGCTACGGACAAGCCTGTATTTCACGGTTCACCACGGTCCTGCCTCCCTTCCCCGTTCCCTCTAAGACCCAGCCTGCTTTACTCATTCCTCCTTCCAGTCTATGGTATGGCTGGAAGAGGGACAGGCACGTTGTTATCACCCTGCTTCAAAACCTTCCCTGTCAGCGAGCCGGGCATCTGCCGCATTTCCATCCTGCCTCCCTGTCAGTCGGAGGAGGGTGAACTAAAGGAGTAACTGAGCCTAGAGAGATGGAGCATGTGGTTCTCCAAGCCCGTCATCCCTCTGTCTCACTCAGCAGCACGGATTCAGTGCCTGCCATTGTTCAGGTGTTCTAGGCATGGAGTGCATCAGTTCCCCACTGTTCACCTTCAAAGCAAGGACATACACTTCTGTGTGCAGCCTGAATATAGGGCTCCTCGGGGAAGGAAGCCTTAGAGTCACTGACAGAAGCCAAACCTCCGCAGCACGTGACAGGTGGAGCACGCTGGAGAACCAGAGAAGACCCTCCAGGTGGGAGAAAGCGCTGCGCCTGCTCAGCGTAGCGGCTGCCGCACTTCCCTAGCACACTTGCTGCTCTGTGCGAAGTGCACCTCGAGGTCTAACAAATAGGATGCAACAGAAAACATGAACATTTCAAAGATGTTCAACCAACTCTGCATGAGAGCCCAGTATACTTCCAGAGAGCCCGGGTTGAGGTGAAAACAGTCCAAAGCGGGCATCCACACGCCGTGGTGTTCTCTTCTCCTGGATCAAGCCTCACAGAATTCAGATACCTTCACAAAGCCTCCCCTGCTGATGCCAACCCACACTGGCACTGCGGCTAAATGAAATCAACACCACAATGCACACCCCAAGGGTTCATCTTCAATAGATTCTTGGGCATACTCCTCAAGAGTAGGGACAATCTTCCACAGGCCCCAGAGCACGGCTAGGTATACAGAGGGGCAGTAATAAATGTTCAGCTTCACAAGCCTCATCGTTTCCTGTTCTCCATAGAAAGGCCTCACCTGACTTTAACTCTGCTGCCATTTTTTTCTTACTGCTTACTGCAGGTGCACGCCTCAGCCCGCGGAAGTCGGCGCTGAGGTGCTGTGACGAGCAGGGTAGGCTCTGCCTCACTGCCTGGCTTGCTAAGGCTGCACTTGTGGTTAGTGCGCCTTGCCAGGTACAGCCTGAAGCAAGACATCAATAAAAGGTGGGGAGGGAAAAGGCCATGAAGCCTTAACCCTTTCAAAAAACATGTGGCTCTGAAAAGAGAACAAAACATAAAAGTCCTGCTGGTGATGGCGGTAGCACAGTAAGCTTCACAGAACCTCGCAGCGTCTGGCTATGATCAAAGTGAATTCTCAAGGCTCAGAGGCAAGAGTGGTCACAGTGTTGCGGAGAGGAGGCAGGCCATCCAAATTAGGCAAAAGGGTTGCGGGAGACTGCAGACTATGCGGGAGACTGCAGGCTATGCTGTGCCTCTCTTCCAGGCTAGATTACACTTGCCGGCCCAAGGGCCTTTACCTTGGCTGTGCAAGATTCTTTGGGCCGTGAAATGCAAGCAGATGCTCTAGGAGCCTCGTGCATTCTTCCATGCTGCCTTCCTTCCTGTTTTACCACCAGTGATGTCCCCGGAAGCTGTCACGTGGGACGCTGGAGTAAAGACGATATGGAGCAGAACCATATTCGCCCTCCATGGATATGCAATGTGAATCATAAGTAAACTTCTTCAGTAAGCACTTTCATGACCAGCTGTCCCAGTTAGTGTACAAGCTAAGCATAAGGCCTTAGGGAGGGGTCCAGCATTGTGGCATAGTGGATTATATCGCTGCTTACAATGCCAGCATCCCACGTGGACACTCGTTCAAGCCCCAGGTGGCCCCACATCGGATCCAGCTTCCTGCTAATGCACCTGGAAAAGCAGAAGATGCTGGGCCCCTGCCACCCACATGGGAGACCTAGATAGAGTCCCAGGCTCCTGGTTTTGGCCTGGTCCCGCTCCAGCAGAAGATGGTCCAAGTTCTTGGGCTGCTGCACCCATGTCAGAGGCCCAGATAGAGTTCCTGGCTCCTGGCTTCAGCTTGGTCCAGCCCTGGCCATTGTGGCCATTGGAGGAGTAAGCCAGCAGAAGAAAAATTGGTCTATCTCTCCCTCTCCCTGTAACTCTACCTTTTGAATAAAAAAATTAAGATAATTAAAAAGTTTTTTTTTTTTAAAGACCTTAGGGAGTGATAGGTACTAGCTAAGCACATTCCCCTTCTAATGGGCTGCCCTGTAGGAATACATATAGTTATGTCTAGTTATGCTAGATTTTTCAAGTTGTTAAGATGTTGGCAACTAATTTCCCCCCAAATAATATTTTATGAACCAAACAAAACATGCTAGTGAATCACCAGTGTTGAATCTGTCACTGGCTCTTAGCATTTGCAGAAGGCACACAATCCTGGATCGTGCTGTACAAGCTGACTGAGGCCAATGGGCAAGAGCAAGCCACTGGATTCCGGAGTCCGTCTGACAGCTCCCCATCACCCCCTGCAGTGCAGCTTGGGTGTTCTCCAGCTACCACTCCCAGCTCCCTCAGCTTTTTTCTTCACATTGTATTGCATTATAGTGAAGACTTAGTCTTTATTTGCACATTTTGGCCTGCTGTGGCCCCCAGGTCATCTTCTCCCTTTCTCCCACCTACACTCTAGTTGAAGTGTAGGTCATGAGCTGGTCTCCATCTGGGATTCCTTTGTTACCCCTCTGCAGGGAGACGGCAAACCCAAGCCAGAATATAAATCAACCCTGTTACCAAGCTTTTTTTTTTTTTTTTTTTTTAAACTGTAAGATTTTTCTCAAAAAGAAAGTGGTATGCAGATTTTACAACTTTGGTACAAATCCCATATCTTGCTACAGACTGATGCTCTGCATAGCAGCCCCAGTCACATTAGCTTCCTTTCTGCTCCCCCAAACTGCCAAGTTCTCATCTCATCCAATACTAGGAAAACTGTCATCTCAACCTCCAAGTCACTTCCTCATCTCTTCCCTGGAGATACTCTTTAAAGCAGCCTGATCCTCCCAATTATTCCATAATATCACCATTTTTTTGCATGTATTTC